ACCACGCTTCATGACCAAGCTTGCTGACGAATATAAAACATGGGTTTATACGCGGTGCTGGTGCGTGCCGTCTTGTGGTGTCCAACCTTTTCTGTACCATGACTAATTATTACAACAGGTTGACATAGGCAAGGTATATCTACCTAAACTGCGAGTAATACAAGTTGACAAAATAATATGAAAAAAAAAAAACAAAAAATCAAAGAAAGTAGACTTATAAAGTATTGTTAGTTATAATTACAAAACTTTTCTAAGAGCACATCGTAATATACTCCCAGATACGTAATTCGAGCCAGCTTGCATTTTCAATATTAAATGCTCTTAGCTTAAACAATGCTTGATTGATCAAAAACTATTATGCAACTTTGAAACTAAACGTCCTTAAGTCATTATTGAAAATTTGAATTTAAAAAACCGGAGAAACCTTTTTCTACGATGCTAACTATATTTTTATATTGTAGCCCTTTAAGTATAAAAGTGCAAGATGGATTTATTATAAGGAATTATGTGTCCGGAAGTGATAAGTTCACTTCCGGACACATAATTCCTTGTGTTAAATTATGTAATTATAATATTTTTATTACAAAAAAACCCGACCCCAAAAGCTATCACAAAAATCCGCTTTATAAAAAACGATAACTAAAACGCATATGGGAAGTCCTCGTTAAAACTAATCACGTGAGCCCAAACACAAAGTAGCAGCAGTACTGTTGAAGAGTTTGGTGTCTGCGATTTACCTCAGCGGATCAGCTCTTGGTCATATGATGATTGGTCATTTTATTTTCATTGGAATGACTTCTATGTGCCAAGTTTTATTGAAATCGGTTAACGGAAAGTGGGTGAAATTTAATATACGGGATTCATCCCCTAAGGCGATTAACACACTGCACCGCGACACGCCACGCTGCGTTACTCGCTTCGTAGTTGATCGCCGTAGTGATTGTACATGTAGCCGAGATCCTTCTTTGACAAGAATGGTTAAAAATGCAGAACTCATTCAGGACGCTGCAGTTATACTGTCTATTTGGTTTTTGTTTACTCAAATAAAAAGACACCGAAGATTCAACTTCATTACAAAGATTTAAGAAAATTGAAGATGAATTTTTCAACTACGCACGTATGTCAACTGATGACATGACTGTTCTTGTAGCAGTAGAGCTCCTTGTTCGTCCAGGGAAGTACTGCCACCTTACGTATTTCTGCCGCCAAGCATTACTGTGTTTCGGTTTTGAAGGGTAAGGGTGCTGGTGAAATTACAGGCACATGGGATTTGTCGACTTATGCCTCAGGGTGACGGGCACAGTGGCACTGCCTCTCAGATCTTTGCGATTTAAAGCTCTGAGTGGCACTACAATTGCTATGGACAGGCGTGTAGCTTACCATCAGGCGCACGACTTGTTCGTCCCGCCACTTGACATTATAAAAAAAACTGAATACTTTGATTATTTTTTAGGGAAAATCCGAACGACAATTACTAGAATAGATACATATTGATTAAACATCTGCGCGGTAGTGCGGAGCGCAGTGTGCAATACCTTGCGGTTCGACGCGCCCCTCGGCGCGGGGGCACGGTAAAACCGCGTTCTCAGTATGTTCGACGGTGCGTGTTTTCCATACAAACTGAGGTACTTCAGTACAACGTTAACTAAACGCAGCTCCGGGCTCCGTCGCGGGGTGCGGTGCAGGGTGATAAACGCCTTAGAGGTGGAGGAGGTGGATATAGATTCACAATTATCGGACTTAAGGCGTAACATTAAAAAAAAGTACAGTCGATTTAAGAACTTTTTTTAAGTCGGTTATAGATACAATAGACGTATTATCCACTCTGTGTTACTTCTAAAATGATTATACACTGCCTAATCCGATCTCGCTCATTACAATTGATTTTATCTTACCATGTTTGTGGTACCTAATAATTAGTATTTTGTCTAATTTTAATCAACGCTTTATATATTTAACATTAAATGTTTCAGAAATGATAAATATTTTATGTACGCACAATAACTATTTACTTCTATTTAAATAATTAAAAAAAACAATTTATATTTCATGTTGGTGGCGGCTAAAGGCCAGCGTAAATGGCGGGAGAGAGCATCAAAGAGTTTGTCATGCCTACCAACACACACCGCAAGTGACCCCCAGCGTAGCGCAAAATCCACTGGTATCGGTATTCCAGTGGCATCCGCCGTCAACGGTCACTCGAATTTGATTCCGTTTCACTAGCGACTACATAGCCCGGCGCATTCAGGCAGACTCCAGTACACACCGATGGACTCTGACGAGTACCTTTGCATTCCGTTTTGCAATACCGCAGAGAGAAATGCGCGCGATACTCCGAAGTCGCTCTCAGAACATTGAAATGTACATAAGCCTAATTTCAATTAACAGAGCATAAAATATAAATTTAATGTCCTCTGAATTCTCGTCCGCCAATTTTCGCTGGCCTTAAAGGTGATAATTAAATACGTTACTATAAATAACAGGTGTCTATAGTTATTGTAAAAGCTTAAAGCTCATTATTGATATCGAAAGTAGCACCTTTTGTTGTAAAATGCACAATTACATTTGACAAAAGTTATTTAATTTAAAGTTCTGAATAAAGGCCTGTTCAGACACACGCGTTATACGCTACGGGACTATGGAATACGATATGGAACTATACACATCTATTTGTCCCTATCTACCGACCCGAGAGATAGGGTTTTCCGGAGAGTCTACGGGCTCGATGGCAAGACCAGGGTACAGCGGGCGTCCGGGCCAAGCCCTCCGCCAGTGATACGCCTTTACGGAGTATTTTGTCGCAGGACACTGCGACTAGCATCTCCGGCACTAACCCGGAGAGCTAGTACACGATAAGCTAGATACCCTCCGGTCCCTCCAGCCGCTTACGTTTTTGGGAACTGGAGATACGTCGTTTTTCAGTGTCAGGAAGTGAGCGTGCCTAACAGCTCCGCCACCTATTAGGAGATTTGGTAGTGGACTCAGAGTCGACGGCTTAGGTGGCAACCGTTAGTTGTGCAATGCGCAACGGGAAGTGAGGTATAAGATTCCTGTGCGCGCACAGGTTATAGTGCCCTTCTCGTATATAGCCTCAGATTATTCTCTATATACCTACATATATATCTCTATAACTCAGATATTAGGTGTCAGAATATATTATTCATCATCATTTATTATTATTATGTCAACTAATCGTCACTGGCTTGCGGCCTGTACGGAAGAATTAATTTGTCACTGTTCGTTCGTTCGACGTGGGCGTCATGCGGCGAAACCCTGTTTCGCAAAGCAAGCCAAAAAATAGCGCTTACCTGGGCGGTATGGCGCGGCATCCCGGTTTTACTCTACCTACGGAACTTCATACAAACACCCGGCGGCATACCGCGCGATGTTTTTCGCTACCCACAGAGATAGCAAAAATCTATCTGAACAGGCCTTTAGGTTTCTTAGTTTTATCGTAACGTTGTTCCTTGTTTCATCGTAGTCTATTAGAGATTATTACTAGGGTGTTATACATTGACTTACAAATATGTTATATTAAAGCTTCCTCACACTTCAAAAATACTTTGTTTAGTTACGATTAAGAGTCCGAAAGAAAAATCGCAGAAGTCCACTTACTAGAAGAGCAGCTTGATTTTGACTGCCTCTCCCGATCGAACACTGTGTCTCTTCCGAGTCGAGGCGCATAATTGCGATTCACAACTGGCCGATCGGAAACTTTTGACATTTCAAATCGGAACAATAGTTGATTCAACTCACAAATTAGAAAGATATAGTATGAATCAGGTTCATCTTCTCGCTCAGAAACGATTCCCATTTGAATCAAAATCAGCCTGCACGACGAAGAATAATGTACTGTTAAACACGTACTAAAATGTTAACGTTTTTAGTATTCTATTAAGGTTGTATGTCGCACCAAAAAGTATATTAGTGGAATAAATCATTTATTTCCATTCATACAAATTATTTTATTTCTTTGTTTCTTATGGCACTTTCAAATTAGACGCTTATAAAAGTGCTACATGCGTCAGTGGCGCTGCGGCCGCGCCACTACTAATTTTCATTCAATATTTAGAAGCGCAGCTGCAGCGCCACTGTCGCTCCACAAGCGCGCCGCATTTGTAGACTTGATATTGTATGAAAAACGCGCCCCTGTAGTGCTTCTACAAGCGTCAAATTTGAAGGTGACCTTAGTCATCATAGACTTAAGGCAAACTGGCTCATAGTAGGCTTTGAAGCGCGTGGGAGAAATTAATTTCAGCATTTTCCAAATAAAATATATTTTCTAAGGGCGCGTTCACATTATGTCGTAAGGTTTTATTTATCGTTGGACGACAGTCGCGTCTAGCCTGTTCCCATATTACTATTCGTCGTGACTGTGTCGTAGACGTTTATTTTGTCGTTGAACGATTGTTGTGTAGCCGTTCCCACTAGATCATAACGACAGTTTATCGGTTCACGGCAGCCGCATTATCGTTCGACAGAATCGTTTGAAGTTGCGATTATCTGTCATCATATTTTTATCGCAACGTTTTGTTTATCGTCCGAAGACTGTCGTTCTTGTTCTTCCCATTGTACTACATTTAAATATACAAGACACGACACTTTAAACTGCACGAATATCTGTCGTCACGATATAATGGGAATGTGCTTACTTACTTACTGTAAAATAAGCTCATAGTCCCCCGACGTATTGTTTTATCGAGGGAAGTCAATAGTATTATTACCCAGTATCTTTTGTTGTCATTATCAATAAGAAAACAAGTTGAATTCGTATTTTTTAATATCGAGAACCCGATTTTCCGTGTGGTCGAAATATATCAAAATTTCTATTTAATATATGGTAGTACCACACCAACAAATAACTTTTATTAAATTTTGTAATATTATATAATTGTCAATTCATTAATTAAAAACAGAATTACGATATTTTTTTTATTCCTATTACATTTTTACTTATGCCTCAAACTATACTCATAAAAATGACGTTTGAGGTATATAAATTAATTTAAAAAAACAGTTTAGCTTGTTTAGAAGTATTTACGTAAAATCCTGAACACTACTGGAACTCATATTTCTAGTTCTTTTCCCAACACCTTTCCCCTTCACTTTTCTACCACTGTCCTCATCACTAACACTATTACATCTTGGTTTAGGACTCATAATATCTGAACCAACTGAATCTCTTTGGGACTTCTTTCTTTGCCTTTTAGGTATATTTTCGCCTATTTGCATTTCGTTGAATTGTCTTTGTCTTGCTTCCCAATATAAGTTTTGTCTCTGGATTATATCAGGGTATTTCGCCTCGAAGGCAATGTCTGCTGGAATGAGGAGTTCCCAGCCGGTTCGAGGATTATACTTGGTTATTGATTGCATTATTTCAAGGACGTCCTCAGGCGGCAACCGTACTGCAGCAGCGACTTTCCTCCTGTCCACATACGGGTGTTGAGTGAAAAGGTACAACTGCGAAATAAGTGTTAAATAAGTAAAAAATTAATTTAATTGACATTCATCACACGCACCCCTCATGGAAGAATGGCATAAATGGAGTTACGTCAAAAACGTTTATTACCTCATTAGATACTGAAAAATATAACCCGAGAGGATGTGTGTAATATTTTTCTGTATCTAATGGAACAATTAACATGTTTGACCTAACTCCACTTATGCAATTCTTCCATGGGGGTCACTGTCGTAGCTCAAAGTTGTGGAATTGAGAAAACAGAATTTGAAAATTAAAAAAAAAATACTGAAAGGATCTTATCGCAAATAATGTGATTATTTTTATTTATACATAATACTTAATTATCCATTTGTAAACGAGAATATTGGTTTCATTCAGTTTTATGTTTTTAATTTTCAAATCGTGCTTTCTCAATGTCCCAGTTTTGAATTATGACAGTATTTGGTTTCGTATGCTCTTATTCTGAAATAAGTAAGTAAAACACTTGTGTTATGAAAGTCGGAAACAAAACCACACAAACGCGCGAAATTGCCAAGTTTACAGGGAGCGTTGTAAAATTTTGAATTCACTGAAATGAGCATTACACGTGACTTTAGCATTTCTCAGTTTTATTCGTTAAAGCTCGTTACTTTAAAAGTCGTTCTTGAATAAAACAGAATTGCTACATTCACGTGTTGTGCTCATTTCAGTGAATTCAGAACTTTAAAACGCTCCCCTGTAAACTTGGCAATTTCAACATACCATACTTTACGTAGGGGCCAAACGCAATCTTTGAGATTAAGAGAGGTGACGACTGTTTGGAAGTAATTCTCAACGCGGCGATACCTTACCATACCGCGTACATATGAACCAATGTATGTATATCTAGACACGCGTTAAATTTTTGACATCAGTGCCTCTGCAGTGACAGTTATCACTAGCGACCGCGTAAAATGTTTGTATACAAAATTATGTTTCATCTTCTGACTGCTAGGGGCGCTGTATACAAAATTGTGAAGTAATTTACGCGGTCGCTAGCGACAACTGCCACAGTAATCCATCGAATATATAACCAGAAATAGAGACGAAATAAGGGCCATCCACCCCTGGCTACTCACCACGTAAATGGACCTTATATCACTTTTAAATATCAACTCTCGTTTGCGTTGAAATCACAAATTAGAAAGCTGAAATAGTACAGCGCCAACAACTGACCTGTATGTACATATCCGTATAATTTTAAAAATATTCTGTATTTATTGTAATAAAGATAATATCTCTGACTATGGGCTGTTCCGTACGATGGTGTGGGAAAAACAGCAAAACATCTAATCACAAAACAAAAGGAATCACATTTCATCAGTAATTAAATATTACATATGTAATTTTTCTATTTTCGTCCATTATAGCACAGCTCAAGTAAAACTGCTCGATTTGAAGTGAAACAATTGACGACACCCGTCAATTGCTTCGAATTCGGGCTGGCCAATCGGAGCGCAGTTGTCACCGTAATGATTTGGCAGAAAAGTTTTCAAACAAAATTAAGTGACATTTCGTGTCTATTTCGGGTTATATACTCGATGGAGTAAACTCATGATAAGGCACTGAACTTGCCTTAACTCTATACTTCACGTCACTAGCATAGCGTTCAAATTGGAAGTTAGAAATCGTGACATGTTTTATAGCTGGTCGTAGTTAGGGAAGGATTTGACTAACCACATGGTCTCGTGCGGCGCACATGAGCCTGGGCGGTACAGGCCCGGCACGTGTGTATAGGTCAGCCGACCGCGGCGTCCACAAACCTCGTACGCAGCATGCAACGCCGCCCAGAGTCGCCAGTAGCGTGCTCTCGGACACCGTCACACCCTCCTCAAACCGTAACTGCGCTTGGAGGTCGTTGAATGTCATTAACTTGGCTGTTAATGAACACAAATGCGATATAGTTTCTTCAAAGTCAAATAATCATTATTTTTATGGGTAATTTTTTTAATTTGAAAACGTAATTTTTAAGCTGTCACTGTGCCGACTTCGCTGAGAAGAACGAACACGAAACTCTAGGGATTGCTCTTTTCAAATGAACTTAAATGCTATAGAATACACTTTGAATCATATTTGTGTGGAATCTAGACTCATGTTGTCTTTCTATACATCTTTATATAATACGTAGTCTACAATTATTTTTTATTTTAATGTAAGTTTTAAACTTAGGAAATGGCAATCTTAATACATGCTCCGGAATCTTATTGTAAAAACTTATACAATTACCCCTAAAAGAATCGTTTACCTTAGTTAAACGAAATAGTAGTACCATGAGTTTGGACTTAGTTCTATGGTTTATATTATGGATATCTTCTTTCTTAACGAAATTATGTATATTTTTACGGGCACACAATTGTTTTTTCAATTTTATTTGGACGAAGAGAGAATTATTTATTCGGCATTACTGAAAACCAGCGTAACGAGGTGTTTTCACAAGTCTCGTTATAAAAAGTTACATCATTTTGGTAACATTTTAAATGCGACTCATTGTTTTGTGTTTTATTCTATGGTTATTTTATTTTTTGTTATAATTTTGACATAAGTTTACCAAATCAACTATTTTTCTTTCTTTCTTTCATATTATTCATGAATGATATCGAGTCTCAAGAGGAAATTGCATACGTTTCTATAACTTTGGATGATTTGGTATTTATAAGGTTTAAAACTATAAGTTTTTACGTAGTTTGGATGTTAAAAGTCCTCGAGAGTGATCAATTTGGCACTTTAAGGTAGCTTCAACAAATGATACTTTAAATAATATATGTGAACAAATGTCTATTAATAAAAAGTGATCCCCGGAATTTCTTACTCATTCTTCTCAGGAAATATGCGACACGAATAATTAGTCGCATTGTTTAATCAATTTGTCTAATTCGAGTATAATTATTTGTTTGAACTATCCTTTAGTCAGAAAACAGGCCACGGAAGTAGGGTTTCTGTAACTTATTCTTAAGTCAAAAGTAATTCTGAGTTTAAGAAACTGTAAAATTCAATAGTTTATAGGCTTCAATAGTTATGTGCTTGGTATACAATAGCACAAAACCAGGCAAGGAATGAAATTATAACAGCAATGGAATATTTATTTTATGCCAACATTCAGTGCGACACCATCAAGACATATAAACTGGTAAAATTCTTTGTTGATATTTGAATGATATAGTTCATAAAGCGTTCAAATTTGCAGTTTAAAATAGGTAGTTTTATGTGTAGCAAAATGTTCCAGGAAGTTTTAGGTAGTATTATCAAGTTGCCTTACCACTAATAAGTAAACGTTTAATTTGTTCAACGAGTGGTAGTATCTCTTCAGATTTGGCGTCTGCCTCCTCGTGTAATGGCGGCGGCACCAGCACGCGTAGATACTCCCGCCCGGGCATGTTAAGGGTCACTCCGTCAGACGTCGTAGCACTAAATAACTTTAGACGCTCCAACTGCAAAGACATACCAATACAGATTTTAAAACTTTTGTGGTTACTCACTAAATCGTAAACATGACCGAATTTCACATTTCCGCAGTCAGCTCAAATGGCTTTCTATCCGTCTCCGCAGGAATTTGCATATTGTGTCCATTCTTCATAATATTTTACATAACCCTGTGTGTCCCAGGTACCTGAAAGAGGTCCCAGGATAAACCCTGTCGCTCTCTTGTTAGGTCCCTGTTATCTTTTCCATGCTTCAATTCCGGTTTCTATTCTCACTCCTTCACTGTTCATGCGGTCAGGCTTTGGAATGGACTTCCTATTACTGTTCACGAAAGTAAATCGTTAGCTATTTTTAAAGTGAGAGTTAAAGAGCATTATTTGTCTACTATTCCATCCATATCTTAGGTATTATTATATTATAAAATATGTATTTATCTAACTATTTATACAATTTATAACAATTTAATAATAGGGGTTAAAGTATGAAATTGCCGATTTGTACTGAAAATCTAAATTGTTTATTTTTTAAATTTTTAACAAATTTATTTAATCAAAATAGTTGCCATTATTATCTATACATTGCTGCCATCTAATGGGAAGGTTATTAATGCCTTTGCGATAGAACTCCGACGATCTAGACTGCACAAACTGTGTGAAAGCATTTTGTACTGCCTCCTGGGAAGAAAACTTCTTGTCACGTAGATAATTGTCCAAATCACGAAAAAAATGGTAGTCCGTTGGAGCAAGGTCTGGTGAATACGGAGGATGACGAATGGTTTCTAACTGCAGTTCCTGAAGGGTCAAAATGGTTTCTCGTGCTGTGTGAGGTCTCGCGTTGTCGTGGAGCAATAATGGTGAAGATCGATTCATGAGTCGGGGCTGTTTTACTGCTAGTTTTGTCAACATGGTTCGGAGTTCGGCACAATAGACATCTGCCGTTATTGCTTGACCAGATCGGAGAAAACTATAGTGAATAACACCATGCTGAGACCACCAAACAGTTACCATTACCTTTTTATTGGTAAGTTTTGCTTTAGGACACTGTTGTGGCATTTGACCTGGGGTCAGCCATTGCATTTTTCTTTTCCGGTTATCATAAAGAATCCACTTTTCATCACATGTTACAATTCGATCCAATATTCCTTCATTTCTGTACCGGTTCAACAAGGCAACACAAGTTTCAACACGCGTTTCTTTCTGCAGATCAGTCAAATCATGAGGCACCCATTTTTCGTATTTTTTTATTTTATTGATTTGACGCAAGTGAGTCAATATTGTGGGTAAGGTAACGTTAAACCATGCCGCTAATTCCTGGGTAGTTTGACTAGGATCGGCTTCCACTATCTCTCTTAATTCATCGTTATTCACCTGTGTGGGCGGTCTTCCTCGTGGCTCGTTCTTTAAGTCGAAATTTCCATCACGAAAGCGTTTAAACCAAAATCGCACGGTGCGTTCATTAATAGACCCCTCTCCAAACGCAGCATTGATATTGCGGGCTGTTTCTGCCGCGTTAGTTCCGCGTCGGAACTCGTATTCAAAAATCACTCGAATTTTCGCAGTATCCATCTTTCTTGTCTAAATTGAATAACAAAAACAATTGAAAGTCGATATTCAAATGTTTCAAATTTAAAAAAAAAAATCACAGAAACCATTTGAAAAAAGTTTCATTCGAAAACCTCAAACCATGAAGATTCTATGAAAATTCAAAGAACCTATTGCAATAAAACGGCAATTTCATACTTTAACACCTAATACTATTATATTATTTTTACATTACTTTTTTTTTATTGTGCATGTATGCCTCTTCTTTTAGTTATAGTGTCCTGTATTCAGGTCTGCAGGAAGAAAGTTCTATTAGAAATAAGCAGAATCTTTTGTTTTAATTTTCCTTGTATTCATCGTGACTTGCTGTAATTTTCCTGTACAATAAACTATTAAAAAAATAAATTTAAAAAAATCAGCAAAAAAATGATAAATTGCAGCAGTGACGGTCAAAACGAAACTTGTGATAACCAATATTACTGCCATATTAACCCGTTATTGTACTGTTGCAGTTAAGCCAGCACCAACACCCAGAATCCAAAATTAATTCTGACTATATAAGTCTTACTATTCTAGAAATATGTTAGTCTTGGCTTCAGATTTTGTTCTGGTCACATACCCTAAATCACATCTACTAAAAAGAGCAGATTCTCCGCAATGGCAATTTTGTAACAATCTCGAAGATACTACATTTAATGGAGTGTGACCATTACATGGCTATGAAAAGCCAATTTCAATTAGGAGATATATGGAAGATTGGGTGATTGAATGTTGTACTAAATAACCCATTAGCTAAGAGGGCCAAAACTCATATGTAGGGTCAGATAGACTTATATTATCCACAGGAATTAACATTACAAGGTCGACATTAATATCCCAGTGTTACAGGTCTAAAGTAAATTTAAAAAGTCTTATTGATGCACAAAAGTTGTAGAACAGAATGTTGTTGTTTCTTTTGTTGTGGTTTGATTTGCCATCATCATTATGTTATTCTTTTTACTTTCTAGAATAATCTATGGTAAATAAAAACAATGCTACAGCATTGAGTTGCCAATTTCCCATTCAAATAACAATGAAGAAAACTTACATCAGCATGATCTGAATCAGAGTGCTTCCAAAGGGAATTGTACCATGGTTCTGCATTTATCTTCTGTATCAAGGTCTCATAGGACTTCTCACGTGCCTTCTTTGCCAGTTCCGTCTCCTGTCTCGCAAACTTCACAATCACTTGTTGTGCTTCTGGTTCTTTCTCTTCATCATCAGAGTTATCTGTTTTGTTTTTGTCATGCTTCTTTTTGTCTTGCTTGTCGAAATATGAACAAGACGGTCGAAGTTGCAAAATTCCTACAAGGTCAATACAAAAATGTCAATGTACGAATATCTCAACTGGGTATTTAGTGTGGATGTCTACATGCTATGTTCCTTTCACATCTCTGTCATTTCCTTCACTCCCGTCAGTCCTTTTGTACTTAGTCGCTGATTTCAGACATAAAATATTAAGATAACAATTTTGTAATGTTAGCATTACTGTTTCAGTTTTAAAAGGGTGCTGGTGAAATTGCAGGCACATGGGGCTTGTCAACTTATGTCTCATGGTGACAGACGCAGTAGCAGTGCCCCTCAGATCTTTGTAATTTGGCCAGGTGTGTCGCTTACCGCCAGGCATACAACTTGTATGTCCCATCACTCAATGTCATAAAAAAAAAACAAGTTCACAATTTCTAAGAAAAAACATGACAATAATCGCACAAGTGCTAAGTATAATTAAAGGGTGATACCAATAAATAAATATGTTTATTTATTTATTAATATATATATATATGTATTTATTATTATACTCATAGACCCTCATCACTGCGACCATTGACTGATCTATTGTGATTACCACTAATTACAGTGCAGAGGCAAGGCCAACAGCATTGAAGAACTGAAGAACTTTTCTGGCTCCGACAGAGTTAATGTCCTCTGGTTGTGGCATGTGCCTTCCAGTACGGATCTTGAGTAAATGAACAGGAGTTACATACGACTTGTGGCAGAATCTACATTCTCTATTCTCTCTCTGCCCAATATTTGACATGCGCTTGTTTAAGCCACAATGCCCTGTTAGGCTCTAGTGAGCATACTTATGCCTTTCCTGTCCAATGACATCTTCTCTATAGTGCTTGGCACTGTAGGCAGACATCAGAGCTTTTGAATGCTCAAGACCCTTGTTTTGTAGCCACACTTCTCAGGAGAGGTGTGTGCTCTCATTTAGCAGAGTGAGCTTTACCAGGCTGTATGCTATCCTTATGAAGGGTTCGGGTCCAACAAAGGTATTTATTTATAGCCTTTATTGCTGATTAGCGAGAATAAACTTACATATATTAACTTATTTAATATAGAAATAAATGAGATGCTTAATGTTACTCAAATGTTTCATATTACTCAAACTACATTTGTGTTAACTCGGTAACTTCAGCTTGTCTTAAGACATAGGTCTCTTTCAGAGCTTTCCAGTTCTCCCCACCTCTTGCTAAATAAATATTGCTTACCTTTAATGGGTGTAAGATGAAGTTCTTTATCTTGTAAAATTGCCACAGCGTAATGGTCAATGTCCGTGCATGGCATGCTGCTCTCATATACTATTTTGTCCATTACACAATTTTGGAAGTAAGGTGCTTTATCTCTGTCTTTTTCTCTGACAAATCTCAAGTCCTGACAAAAGAGGTTGGATTGGTTATATGAGATCAACATCTCATTTCCTACACTACTATTTTGATTATAATAAAAGGAAAATAAATTTAGCAACATTCATATTTTTGTTATTAAAGCACTTTGTAAAGATAAAAGACTTCAAAATATGGTGGGGAAGGACTGTGCATTACCATCGCACTGTTTGAGGGGCGGGAGGGGGTGGGGACCATACATGCAAAATTTCAAAGTTAGGATGTTAATAGTTTTCGAGATATTAATTTTTGAAAATTCGAAAAAATAACTTCAAAAGTCATTCATTCATTTCACACCAAAGAGCGGAGTAAATCCCTACCCCGAGCCCCTGAGTCAGGAGTTACGGACGCCCCCACTTTCTGCGTTAAATGAGAAACTTAATTTAACCAAAAACCAGGCAAAATCCTAGTTCATGCTGTCTATGAACTTCTTGAATTATAATATAATTTCGGAAACACAAACAAATTCACTTCTGTCTTTTATCATATTATACTCTCCTGACCTACAGATTGTGGGACGCAACCAAGATTTAACCTGGGTAAAATTAATTTGTTTTCATAAATAAAAGCATTCATACTAAATCTAGTAAATTTCAATCTTAAATGTACAATTACTTAATAATTTATGCTTTTTATTATATATTGCGCAAAAATTTTATAAACAACACAAAAAAATAAACATTTTTGTTAATTGTTTTTTTACGAAAATGTATTCTTTTGAGTTATTTATAAAATGTTACTGCAACAACCAAACGCCGTGCTTTCCTAACCTACATAACCTGTTCCATAACATTTATTTTCGAATATTTCAATAATTTTTATTATCAAAAACTACGAGTTTCCTAAAGCTAATATTGTAGGATTAGACTGTTAACTATGTAGTCTATTCACCATATTAATTTCAACTCTCAACTCATGCGATGGTAATGTACAAAAAGAGCCACAAAAACTACACAGACCATACAAAATCATTGAACTGCATACAATGAAAAAGTTATAGCAGTAGATACCTGCATGCCATCAGTATTAATAGCAATCTGTTCGCCTTTAGAAGCGCTGTACTTGTCGCTGTCGATGTCCAGACTGATTTCAAGCCGCACAATTTGATTCTTAGGTTTGAAAGAGGCTTTAGCTACATGTACGCTTTCCCAATCTTTATTTGCAGGCCTAACTGGGTACTGATATACGTACAAGCAGTCAGTCAGTGCTTGTGACAGAAATATGGGGATCTAAAACAATTGAGTGCATATTTTATTTAACATATCCTATTCTTGTAGCACCGATTTACTTGGTAACTGTCTTACCTCATCCACTACAGGATCGTCGTCGTCTTCTATCATTTTGCAAGCTACAATAAATTGACTTTGTGATGTTAATTATATTAATTATTTCTACACATATTGAACCAAATAATTAAATCCAATGCAACAACTTTTAATGCAAGTATCGTAACGTAACGCAACGCCTCTCGTAATTCCAGAATACTATTGGTCGTAATAAATAATTCGGCACGGCATGCAAGTATAGTATAACTCTGGCGCGGTGTTTTGACGTTTAAAATTGATAGAAAAATAAATAGATTAAATAGCATGGCATAGCACTAACCATGTGCTCAAGGAACACACCAGTGTTGCCAGGTCAAATCTGAAAAAATCTGTGTATGTTGCACCAAAAAAACAGATGCTTAACTTTTCTTCAAACATTGATTGAAGAAAAGTTCAGCGATTTTCTTCAAACATTGATTGATCATTTTTAACCGACTTCAAAAAGAAGGAGATTCTTAATTCGACTGTATTTCTTTTTATGTATGTTACGCGATAATTTTGTTGGAAAAATGGTACAGTTAAGAGCACATCAAGCATGACACTTTGTATAATTTGTATAATGACATTTGTATAATTGACAATGACACTTTGTTTAGTTAAATGATTGGCGTGTGACCACATATAGACGCACGACTCAATCTTTGACCTTGTAAACTTCAACCTCATCAGTTCGGAATGAAGTTTCATATTCCATGCTCGTGGAGCTTGCTTTAATCCACATAAAGCTTTATATAAGCGGCATACATAATCTTCTTTACCTTTTTCCTCAAATCATTCAGACTGCTGCACGTAGACGGTTTCGTTTAAGTCTCCATTGAGGAATGCCGTCTTCACATCCATTTGATCTATATGTAGTTTTATGTAAGCAGCCATAGCTAAAGTTCTCAGTGAGCTATGTCTGACAACAGGTGAAAAAGCAGTGAAAAAGTATCAAAATAATCAATGCCTCTACGCTGGCTGAAGCCTCTTGCTACCAGTCGTGCCTTATATAGAGTATTTCCTCCCGCCTCATCTTTGATTCGAAATAACCATTTAAATTTATTAAACTAGCCGGTTGACACGAGAGAATTTGGAGACAGATAACATTTTTAAGATTTAAAAAAATTAAAGGCCGCAATCTCTTTTCTAACAACCATGAACACGGACCATGAAGACTGCTGTTCGTTTGTGTTGTCCCAATATTCATGCTGAAAATGTCTCTGTTTGCAAAACCTCTGTCTATCCATAATATCGTGTAAACCTAAGTTCGTAATTGTATGGACCCAAACCCTGTGACACTCGGGTGCAGCAGATACATTACGTTTTTTATTCACAGACATGGAACATATCAGTTGGTTGATAAGAGATAAGAGTGGCATCTCAAGAATAAGTTAAAACATAAAATAAAAACCTTTGTGCATGTACAAAGATTATAGTATCGAATAATGTAAACTATTTGCTTGAACAAAGATAAGTAAATACATATATTGTCTTCAGAGACATTTGTGATTGTGAAATTTATCAACTTAATAAATTCTATTGTGTACAGGATTTGTATTTAGTATTTTAATTTAGAAATGCAATGTGATAATAAGCATTGGCATTCAGAAAGTTTTTATAGTTAGTGTCAGTTTATGTAAAAGTTTATTGGTGCAGACTACCTACTTAAAAAACTTTTTGTATAGTTTCTTCTTTAATTTACATCGTTGAAAGTCATTTTGCAGGAAGTGTTGTATTCTTGTTGACTGTAGACCGTGAGTCGATTATAGTGAAACCCGTGGATAACATTATTCTATCAATTTTGGGCGCATTTTGAACGAACAATATGGGATAAGTGCCACAGTAAATCGTCTCCTAAATATGAACAAATCTGTAGTACGTCATTTTTAATTGGTCTTTGCTTGCCTGTAAATACCTGTTGCTTTGTTACATTCAAACACCACCCAGATCATTATGCTTTTTGTAAATAAAAAAAATTAAGATCTTCAAATTTACAAAACATCAACGGAATCATGATTACGTTCATGCAATTAAAGACATTACGGTCCTGATATTAAAGCTCATCTTTGAATTTGTGTCGTGATGCACTATTTAAATAATTGTGCGGTGGATAGTTATTGGAACTTTGATTAACCAATGACGAACAATGATTATTCGCATTTGAATAATGTCGCAATTAAAGTCGTTGGGTTTTTAATTTCTTTATTTTTGATTTATTAATTTACATTTTGTTTGCTATGTTGTCGGATTAGAACATTTTACCTTGCACTTAAAAGTGTGTGTTTTGTTGTTCAGTGTTTTTTTTAAGTAATTTATTTAAGCAGTTCTTATCTCTTAGGTTAATTTTATTTTAATAAATACAGTATTCAAGAATTGTGGTCATTAAAGTATATTCTCAAAAATACATAAAAAGTTTAAGAATATTAAAAGTTTTTGTAATAACAAAAAATGCTAAACACAATTTTTGTGTAAGAAACTATTGAAGATACTTATGAAGTACTATTTGCCATTTTGTATTATTCTACACAATTTCATATGTGTGGGGATTTATAGATAAGGAAGTTACTAGAGAATACGATTTTATAGACACGCCACTAAGAGGAGGAATTAAAAATTTAGGTTACGTAAAGAGGCCTACTCTTCGATATAGGCTACTACTACTATAGTTTATTGGACAGAAGACGACAGGGTAGAAAAATATACACAAGTAAGCAATTCAAAATGTGACATTTACTTTGGGAAGGTAATGTTACCTCACAATACAGAAGGTGCTTACCTGTTTTACGCTAGTCGTATAGAATTCTCTAACTTGCCGCTACCCCGACGGCCTGAAAAAATTATTTGGGCCTTATCGCATGAAGAATCTCCAAGAAATTTAGCTGAGTTAATGCATGAAAAAATACTGAATATATTTAACTATTCAAGCACATTTAGTAGATACAGCGACGTGCCGTTCCCCTTACAAAGTATAGTGTCTTTAGAGAATGTGACAAGTCCTAAATACTTCGTTGAAACTCAGCATAGACTAAGGGTCGTATTCTAGAACTCTACTCAATGCTCAAGTCAGGATTTGAGTGTGGTTTAAAGCACTCGAAATCATACTCAAGTCCTTGCCATTAGGGTCGTATTTCCAGTGCGTAGTCCATCGGCTGGAATATGTTTACCGCGTGTAATAATGGCTCAATACATTAAGAACAAGTATGGTAACTCCGTACTAACGTCGCAGCGCGCCTGGTATGTGTGCGCACCCTTAGAAATAGGCAAGTAGATGAAATAGCCAAATATTTTCCACGTCAGTTAGTACCTACATTTAGCATTAGCGTGAATTACTATGCAAACTTTAAAGCTGTGGCTCTTTGAACACAATAAACATTTTGTTTGTGGAAGAACAATGGAAGTTTTTGCAAAATTTGGTAATGTGGCACAATCGCAAAACATCGTCCCTTAATTTTTTTTTGGTCCTCGTTGTATTTGTCAATCACAGATCTAAAAAATGCGTAAATAAAAAACTATTTAAAATATCATTTTATATTTTCCAAAAATAATATTTTTAATAAACCTTTAGCCTTTCTCTTTCGAGTTTCCCGCCATTTTTTTTCTTAGCGATTGTATTGGAATGACAGCTGTCAAATGTAGGATTGAGGTTCCCGCTAGGAGTAATATAAATACAATTATTAAGATAGAAAAGATTAATAAGATAGAGAATTATCATATGTCTATGCAATAAATTATTATGAAAATATTACCGAGAACCTCCTCCTTTTTGGAAGTCGGTTAAAAAAACCAATCAGTTGAAGTTGAAGAAAATCAGGTAAGTTCAGCATCTACTGTGTTTTTTCCTCAATCTACTGCTTTTTTGGTGCAACATATACAGATTTTCAGATTTGACCTGGCAACACTCAACTTCAATGTCAACTTGACAGTGACAAAACAAGACAATGCTGTTGTGTCTTAGAGGATGGAAACATAGTCTAAGTGTTGTGTACATCCATTTGTGACCGATAATAGTTGGGATGTTCCAATACCACCAAAGCTGCAAAGTATCGACACCTACTCAAATGAGTAGTAACCAATTCGTCATGCGATACTAATCATATGATTACTTCAAAAGTATCGATACTAACTCATATTGATACGTTTTTGGGAGATATAAAATATGTTCACATTTTAGATTTTGGCGGCGCCATAATAATAAAATGTAATAAACTTTTAACAAGCACGCACTACACAATAAACAAATAAACGTTCTTTTTTTTAAGTATTATAGCTAAATCGATACAATCGATAATTAATCGAGATTTTGATAATCGATTATTACTGCGAATTTTTCTTAATAATACCTAAAGTAAACATTAATTTATATAAAAACTGAAATACAAAAACCCACAAAACTATGTAAGAACCCGCCACTTCTCTTTGTGAACTTTGCTCATTCGCAGAGATGTATGTAGTAATATTCATTCAAAGGGACCTTACGTAGACATATATTTTCTTACTCTGGTACTTCGCGGTTTGCGTTTGTTTTCTGTAAAACGGTGAAAATGGAAAGATAAATTTGGAAAAAAGATGATCTTTTTTTTTTTTTTTTTTTTTTTTTTTTATGACATTAAGTAACGGGACGAACAAGTCGTGTGCCTGATGGTAAGCTACACGCCTGCCCATAACAGTTGCAGTGCCACCAAGAGCTTTAAATTACAAAGATCTTGGGGGCACTGCCACTGCGCCCGTCACCCTGAGACATAAGTTGACAAGTCTCATGTGCCTGTAATTTCACCAGCACCCTTACCCTTCACAACCGGAACACAGTAATGTGACCATTACTGCTTGGCGGCAGAAATAGGTAAGGTGGCAGTACTTCCCTGGACGAGCTCTTTCACAAGGAGCTCTACTGCTACTAAATCTACTAGATCTTTTCCTGGGAAGTGGGATTGTACCAGCCACAGACGTGCCAGAATGTCTAACCCTCTTCCGACATTCAGGCACGTCTTGTTACAAGCAAAGTTACAATCATGCCTTGTGCATCAGCATAGAACACACGTACCAAATTAGTATAAGTAGCTCATACAAAATGTAAACCTCACCAGTCAACCAGAGTCAGTCAATCCTCATTCAGTACTTATCCAGTAAACTCTCATCAAATATCCACAACTATAATATTTTATTTTATACCATGTAACCATGGTAAGGTTAAATATTTACGCGTGCGCGTTTCGATTCGATACCAATATTTTTCTTCCGATATCCAGTAAAAATCGAAATAAGGGATTCGATGCTAAAAGTACTCGGTATCGAAACAAAAGTATCGATTACTTGTATTTGCTTGTATGTATCGGATCATCCCTAAGTCGAGACATTTGATGACTTTTTCAGATCACTTTATCTTTCTAATTTGTGATTGTGAATTCTAATATGTGATTGTGAATTTATCAATTTAGTAATTTGTATTTTGTACACAACTTGTACTTAATATTTTAATATATAAAATGCAATGTGATAATAAGCATTGGCATTCAGAAACCTTTTATGGTTAGTGTCAGTTTTTGTAAAAGTTTATTGCTAGAGATTACCTGCTAAAAAACTTTTTATATAGTTTCTTCTTTAATTTACATCGATAAAAGTTATTTTGTTGGAAGTGTTGTATTCTTCTTAACTGTAGACCGTGAGCCAATTATAGAGAAACCCGCGGATAACTATTCTACCGATTTTGGGCGCATTTTGGAGGACAATATGGGATAAGTGCCAACGTAAATTGACTTGTGGACATGAACAAATATGTACTTTGTAATTTTTAATTAGTCCTTGCTTACCTGCAAATACCTATTGCATTGTTACACTCAATCTCCATCCAAATCATAATGTTAATTATAAACTGTAAAAACAAAATTTGTGTCATCAAATTTACAAAACATCAACATAATCATAATTATCTTCATGCAATTAAAAACATTTAGTTACTGATATTACAGCTCATTGTTGAATTTGTAAAATTCAACACAGCTTTGATATAGGCATATGAGCTTCAAGCCTATTAATAATTAATAAATAAATAAACAAACATTTTACCTTGCACTTAAAAGTGTTCGTTTTGTTGTTTTAGGGTTTTTTTTAATAATTTATTTAAGCAGTTCGTGTCTCTTATCTTAAATTTATTTTAATAAATACAGTATTCAAGAATTGCGGTAATCAAAGTATATTCTCACAAATACACAAATGTTTAAGAATATTAAAAGTGTTTGTAATAAACAAACAATGCAAAGTGTACAATTTTTGTGTAAGAAACTATTGAAGATATTTATACGGTACAAACTATTTGCCATTTTTGTATTATTCTACATAGTTTCTATTGTGTGGGGATTTATAGATAAGAAAGTCAATACAGAATATCATTCTAAAGACACACCACTAAAAGGAGGAATTAAAAATTTAGGTTACTTAAAGAGACCTACTATAGTTTATTGGACAGAAGGTGACAGGGAAGAAAAATACGCACAAGTATGCAATTCAAAATGCGACATTTACTTTGGGAAGGTAATGTTACCTCACAATACAGAAGGTGCTTACCTGTTTTACGCTAGTCGTATAGAATTCTCTAACTTGCCGCTACCCCGACGGCCTGAAAAAGTTATTTGGGCCTTATCGCATGAAGAATCTCCAAGAAATGTAGCTGAGTTAATGCATGAAAAAATACTGAATATATTTAACTACTCAAGCACATTTAGTAGATACAGCGACGTGCCATTCCCCTTACAAAGTATAGTGTCTTTAGAGAATGTGACAAGTACCAAATTCTTCGTTGAAACACAACAGAAAAACTTGTTACTAAAAGAGATAGGCCCAATTTTGTATTTGCAATCTGACTGTGAAGCTTCGACTGAAAGAGACAAATATGTTTTGTCTCTCCAAAAATTTCAACGAATAGACTCCTATGGTATTTGCTTAAGAAACAAAGAATTGCCAAGTGGAGTAAAAGGTGAAAATGAAGATTACTTAAACAGTTTAGACGATACTAAATTTCTGAACTTTGTGGCGAGATATAAGTTTGTGATAGCTATTGAGAATGGTGTATGTGAAGATTATATAACAGAAAAGCTATGGCGAGCAATCCATGTTGGTGTGGTGCCTATCTACTTTGGATCTCCCTCAATAAGGGACTGGCTGCCTAATCAGAATTCAGCTATACTTCTTGAAGACTTTCCTACACCAGAATTACTAAGTCAGCACATTGATGAATTATTAAGAAATGACCAATTGTATGAAGCATACCTTGAACACAAAACGAAAAGGAAGATTTCTAACCAAAAACTTATTCGCGAACTGCATGAAAGACCTTACCAAACTGGGCATAGAGAAATAGAAAATGAATTTATATGCTTTTTGTGCAAAAAACTTCACGAAGATAAGAATACAGTTCACATTGTGACGAAACGCCATTACGACTGTCCTAAGCCCATATCTGCTCTAACACAACAAGTAGAGCAGACGAATTCATGGGTACAATCATGGGAATTTACAGCACGTTATGTAGTAAATGCGTTGTACAATAAAATTATGAAGTAACGCAAAATAAAGCCCTATTTGTTGTTATGCGCCGCAAGAGATCCAAGATAAGAATTACCGTTCTTCATCAACAGTCTACAATAGGTGTAATATAAGTAGCTACGATGATCAAATGATACCAAAGATATTTTGTGGTTGTGCTAAGTCTTTAGCAAATACATTAAAAGATTAAATATTTTTTTTTTTTAATTTGACTCAAAGATATATTTATATGTAACTAGTAGTACTACTAATTATTTAATAAAATATTGTGTATTTTGAAATACTGTTCTTTAATGGTTTTTTTACCCATTTTTGCTTTAATGGTGACTACAAAGTTTCAAAAAGCTACGAGTTCTTAGCACAGAAAGGATTCAGAATCTATTCAAAAATTTATTGCTGAATATTGCCCAAATCAAAATATTTTATTTTTATACTTATTAGTTTATTATACAATCATTGTTATAATTAGTGTAAATAATGAAAGTCCTTGGAATTCTTTAACTGCTAATATAATAGCAAGGTTGGCACGATTAAATAATTTTGATTTAAATCATGATTTAAATCGTGATTTAAATCAATTGATTTTTTCAATAAAAATCAGTGATTTAATCAAATGTGTTTAATTTTATTTTCTATCATAGAAATCAACATAAAATCATACAATAATATTTTAAAGACTAGGGTCTTTTACATCTGAGAAATCAAGATCACCATTATAATATTTAAACAAAATAACTAGTTTGCCGCTGTTAATTATCCTTTTACATTACTGCGTTTTACTTAAAAATATAGTTATAACTGTATGATAAAATAAAAAAAAGTGATTAATTAGGATTTTTTTCAAAAAATCATGATTTTTCCAACTCTGTTAAGTAGCCATATTTAAAAAAACCTACTTGTCCGTTTCTACCATACAAGTATGGTGTCTACACAGAAACGCACGTGTATGCGTATCACTTTTTCTTCTACTTGCCACTTTAAATTTAATTTAAATGAATAATACTAGCAGTAAACCACTTTTTATAGTGCGAATATCAGAATACATATATGTACATAAATAGTTCTTGGACTTTTTATTCTCAGTTCTGCGTAATCAATTAATAATTAATTCCTTTAATATAAACGTAGATGTCTAGAGGTGATGTGCCGTTGTCCGTAGGTTTTAACGTTAAAAAATAAGCAATGTTTTCATTTCAACGATTAACAACTACAAAAGTTAAACAACTTATGTTTTTAAACGCTTCTAAACGCCAATGAACAAAATGTTAATATAGTAATGTTATGTCATAAATAAATATATAACTCGTTTTTACAAAAAAACTTACTTATCTTAAACCCTTTAATGGTCTACTCTTGCGTTTCGCTATTAACACAACAACGTTGCAAGCTTTTTTATAACATAAAAGTTTATGCGATTAAACTTTTTCTAAACTATTTTATTAGCTTCTAAGTAAAAAGCGTTTAAATTAAAAAGGGTTTAAAAAGCACGCTTTTTTTAAAAAAGCGTAACGTTTAAAAAAATAAGCAGTATTTACCGTCTCTGATAATTAAAGATAAGTCAATTATCGACATGCAAATGTAAGGCTTGAATGTTGAAACTGTTGTTACTGTGTTTTATGTTTGCAAATTTGTGTAGTTTACTGTAATAAAAGTATGATAAATATTAGGCTATTACTTATTACTCAAAATAGGCGCCTTGTCGTCGAGTTGCGGACACCAGCCCGTTACACCAAGTACCAAGTAGTACTTATTACTAGGCAAGTAATGAGCCATTTCAATCAAAATTAAATATAAAGTTCTTTACCTATAAATGTAACAATGGAATTGCATTATCATGTAATCTAGTTATATTCAAAGTTCTATTTAAAGTTGAATGGATCGAATGAAGGAAGATGGTATTTGGTCCAATGTTTATGTTCGGCAGTCCTATAATTTCCAACCATTCTTTCTTTTTTTTTCATTTGTAGGTAAACTTTAAAAATAATAATAATGGAATAATAAAAACCTCGTAGTGAATTGTTTCAATAACAGAACATCGATAATATGTCTGCTTACAAGAACAACACTATCTCAAAATAATCGATATCAATAATCATCAAAATAAACTAACAAACAGGCAATCTAAAGTAACCAAAGCAAAATTCGGCAAGACTTATGAATAAACTACTTAAATCAGTCTAATTACATGTGATATTTCGGCTATTGTATATTATAGGCAAAAAAATAACACATGCGGGTGTAACGTAACATGCGGTTGATTTCTGCTTTTTCTACTGCCGCAGCCCTTAATACTGCAGTGACGCATTTTTATCAATACTTAATTGTTTTCACTGTCAATACTTTTGTCCACAAACATTTGGCCAAACATTGGTTCTGACATTTGATGTACTTACAACCGGATACGGATGTCAAAGGGTACTCGAAAAATGGTAAAATGAGGACAGTTGGCATTAAAGATGACGTTATGTATTTTCGATTCACGTGTTTGACATAAATCAATGTAGTTGTATCTCTTTTGTCTTACAACGGCACGCAGTAGTTAAACAAAGACAATAAAATGTTTTATGTTTTCACCGTCTAAATGCATCATGTACATATAACGTCTGATTTATATATGTCAATATAACATGTCCTTTGGTTTCCATAGTATAGGCTTTGATTTCAATTTAAGCTCAAGTCAAGTCAAGGTCAGTTTCAATTGATTTCCCGTAGTAACAACAGTCACGTGTCATGCAAATTTAATAGAAACAGACACGTTGAGAGCCATCTATGTCGTGAATTTTGTTCGCTGCGATCAAAGTCGTTATACTCATCACACAGGTACGGCATGGACCGAATAATAACACACACAACGATTCTACTTCACGTTTTTAAGATTTGGCTGAGAAATTTTGAATCTATTTGCTTTCTTGCTTACCATTCAATACTACGTTTCTGCTTAAGGTAAACATACTATGGATAATAGCAGTATATTTAGAAGAATTTTGAAGGAACAAAAATACCCAACTTTATATGAATTGTTTTTTGCGTTTTTGACATTATACATGATGTGGGTCGCGTCATCGCATGACCACACTGGACACACACATGGAAATGTAAATATCAATGTGCCCGAGACGCACAGGAAACACGGTACCGATAAACCCAATGAAAGAGCACTTTTAAACTACACCAAAAACCCCGCCATTATTTGGTGGACGCAAGACTTAAATTTGAATCCGCAAATCATTCAATGCAGGAAATGGAAATGCGACATTTATTCTGGTAAAATAATATTACCATTTAACCTTAAACGTGCTTACTTATTCTACGGAAGTCGTACTAAGTTTTACGATTTGCCACTACCGAGAGATCCAGAGAGACATATTTGGGGTCTATCACTGGCAGAGTCACCAAACAATGCACCGCTATTCGTGCACGAACAAAATTTAAATCTTTTTAACTATTCGAGCACTTTCAGCAGATATAGTGATCTACCATTTCCATTACATTACATGTTGTCTTTGGAGAACATAACAAATACAAAATATTATGTTAAAACTTCAGTCAAGAATTTTTATTTAAAAGAATTATCTCCAATATTGTACCTACAATCTGATTGTGATACTACAGTTGAAAGAGACAAATATGTCACAGAGCTTATGAAATATCAGCGCGTAGATTCTTATGGCCGTTGTTTAAAGAACAAAGAATTTCCAAATCACCTTAACAATTTCAATTACATCTACATGGATAAATTAGACGAGATCGACTTCTTAAAGTTTATGGCAAAGTACAAATTTATGATAGCGATGGAGAATGCTGTTTGTAATGATTATGTGACTGAGAAGTTTTGGCGGGCGATACATTTAGGTGTAGTACCGATATACTTTGGGTCTCCCACGATAAAGGATTGGCTACCGAATGAGAAATCTGCGATACTTCTTGAAGATTTTCCTACAGTCAAGTTACTGAGTGCTCACATTAATGAACTTATGCGAGATGACACTCTGTATGAAGAATACCTGGAACATAAAACGGATGGAAAAATTTCCAACCTCAAACTTGTTCGAGAAATTCGTACTAGACCGTATCAAACAAACGACGCAATAAAAGATCGAGAATTTGTGTGTTTTCTGTGCAAAAAGCTTCACGTGGACAGAGGAAAGCAAAGTATTGTAAGAAAAAACCATTATGATTGTTAATTTTATTTTTAACAGCATGCAGCACTGCCTTCGAAATTGAGCGTAAAAATTATTTGTAAAGTTTTTTCTTGTTTAGTTACATTATTTTTTAGCATTTTATTGTAGCTTCTTGATTAATTTAAAGGTGTACCCTAATTTTATTTTAATGTATCTTCTTAATTACGTATAGTTTTATATTCATTATATTAATTCGTTTTGTATAATAAACATTATATTGCATTATAAATTGTCTATTGATTATATTAGGTACACTGCCTCAAACTAGAAATTAAGCATGTACCTATTAAATTCCAAACGCTAGGTCTATCTGTAGAAGATTTTTAAACTGTGATGCAGTCTTACTACTATACAGATTACCACTTTCATTATTGGCGAAGGAAAACATCGTATTGAAATATATGTTATTATGTTATTTGCAAACTTTAGTACATAGGTAGTCCACTGTTCCTACAGATTCCATGTGGGCCTAGCCCACTACAGTTGCATAATCTGAGTGGAGGCAAATGAGGCGGTTAATATAAATAAATAAATAACGCACACACTCTTACTATTTATATTTTCGTCTGATATAAATTCATTCCTGTATTGTAGATACATACCTATAACTATCAAGTGTAGCTCACGGATGATGACGCAGAAGATCACATGACGTCACTATCACAAATTTTTCAATGGCTTTCAGATGCATAAGTTAGAATTACGCTGCATTAATAGAGGTGATAAATTAAGCTATACAAAGCTACGTAGGTAGCTAATGGCAGTAATTAGAAATGTTTTGTTTGTCATTATGTTAACGTCAATTTTAGTATTAAACCATTATGATTTTATTAACATTATCTATTACTACACCATATCGGTGGCAACTGAGAATATTTTTTCTAGTTATTTCTTTTGGTGTCGGCAGAGGGGACGACTAGGAAGTAAATTTAACCAAATAACAGTAACTTTCCACTAGGGCTAGTGCGACTATTCTATACGATACTGTTATTTTTGCACTTTATGTCGCTCTCGCCTAAATCGCGCTTTGTCGCGCTGGCCTCTGAATTGTCCCTTGCCATATAGGTATGTATATTTAGGGAATATAGTATATTTAGGATTGCTATGCCAAAATAAAATATAATTAATCAGTATTAAAAATTATTTGTGATATCGAGAGAACGGTGTAATTAAGCCCAGTAGAACAACAGTTGCTACTTAAAGCGGGGTATTTCAACGCGAGTCTAGATTTTAGGAGATGATGTGTGTCCCGCAATCCGCGCGGTGAAAATTAATATGGATAAAATTAGAACAGGCGGAGAAAATTTGACGCATACCCAACGTCGACAAGCACCTGAAGGCGACTGACGGGGCAGCGAGATACGCGGCGTGTCGTTAAACCGCTGAGTAATTTGCAAATTTTGGGATAAATGTGACTTTAATAACTATAGGGTGTCAGTTGAAAACTAAAATTTTGCAGGTTCTATATAAAGAAATGTCTCAATAAAAAAAAATTAAGTGCAAAGTTAGATATTTTATTGTTAAATAATTAGTTTCACACGTTTACTCTAGCTTGTTTTCAGGATTTTATATGATCGGGTAAAGTACATCCTATGACTTAACAAATTAGCATATTCTTTAGACAATATCCTCAGGTGTATCGTATATTTTTTGTAAGACTGTTATTTAATGGTAAATACCAAAACCATTTGATCTAAGTAGCAGTTTTTCCCGTTTCTCCAGTGACTCGGCTTTAATTGAGAAGTCGACACGGTCCAAATCGCCTGTGGTGGCATATACCTGTGGAACTACAAAGTTATGTATAAGTATTGTGAATACTTTAATACACAGGGCCAGCGTGTCACTCTACGGCACATGGTTACCAGCAGCGGAATTTATAGTGGGTTGATGTAATATGTGATATCCGCAACAGCGTGGGTTATTACGTCAGAAAATTAATAATAATAATAATTTATTTTGGAACTATCCATAGATTGTTAGTAAATTACAAAATATTTAAGTGTAACGGTTTGTTACATAATAATATTAATAACGCGCACATACTAGGGAAACCCTTTATCGCGGGTACTAGGATACACACAAAGACAACCACAAATTATACCCAAACTCACGAGAGAAATAAATGTAGGTTTAGGCCATACAAATATTTCTCCCGGCGGGAATCGAACCCGGGACCTCTGTGTGGCAGTCCAGCATGGTAACCGTTCGGTTACAGAGGCAGTAAAAACACAAATGCAGCAACACAGAAATGAAAACTAGGTAATTTATGTTTATGCAACGGTATGCTGTCGCATCCAATAATGAACATCAGCGAGCCCCAGCGCGCGGACAGCACGATCAGACAACAAATTTATATATTTTAAAGTGGTAGTCAATGCAAAAACATACGCATTAAAAATTGATAGCGTTATCGTCATTCAACACTTACTCCTACACCATTCCTCGGTTTGAGTTGGGTGTCTTATCTAGGCGCTATCAACAAGAGGACATTTTAGAGCGGCTGCATTCACTATGCGATATCGAACAATACACAAAAAACGTTAGATATAGCACAATAAAGCTGAAAAGGTGAATAAATGTGACCTATCCCTTCAACCTTTGTTGCCAATCTGTTTAATTTCACCTTAGAGAACCACGTTTTCACCTGTATAAATGTTTGAACACTACGTGGGGCGCACTGTAAGTTTCAGGAATGAATAAGAAAAAAATATTATAAATAGTCAGAAATGAATTTATTGTTTCTCAAAATATTCTCCGTTAGCGTTAATGCAATTTTTCATACGAAAATGAACCAATTCTGAAAACATTTATGCCACTCCTCCGTGACAATCTCTGAAACATATTATTCATACTCTTCGACAGCCTCTTCAGGTGATGAAAATCGTTGACCGCGTAACTGATTGTTAATTTTTGGAAATAAATAAAAGTCACAAGGTGCCAGGTCGGCACTGTACGCGGCATGGCTCATAAGATCAAAGCTGTTCACCTTCAAAAATTCATTTGTCTGTCTGGCCGTGTGAGAACTGGCATTATCGTGCTGCAAGATGATACGGCGTTTACGGTTATTTTTACGGAATTTGTCAATAACTTCCGGCAAACAAATGGTCGTGTACCAATCACTATTCACAGTACAATGATTCTCCAAAGCAATAGTAGCCACGTGTCCAGTTTTATTTAAAAAAAGAAGCAACCATCCGCTTAGAGGCACTTTGCACGCGCGCCGCTTTGGTTGGTTTCGGCCATAGATATAGAAAAAAACGGGAGATATGTAATGACTCTATGTAAGATCGGGTGCCGATGTCGCCACTTTTTAGCTTGTGTGCAATTCCAACTTTTCGCTCTGTTATCTACTACCATAACTTAAAGATTTTGATTGGGTAGGGCTTAAACAGAATGTAACAGTTAAGTATGTAAAATTAGTAGCACATTTCACGGCGCGTTTTACGCCTGTAGTGGTGACGGTTGCTCGCGGTTGCCGCGGCGAGGTACAAGTAGAACCGTGCAGGACGCGATGACCTGCGCGCTTGGCGGCCGTCGTTGCCCGCACACTTTGGCGGTCGGTCCAGGCGCAATGTGGTGTAGGCGCACGCAGGATAAGTTCTCTATTAACCGCGCGACTTGCAATTAACTCCCACTAATTTCCCGGTACGTTCCGTAGTCGCACCGGTTGCGTACCCGCATCCGCGGCAGCTACGTGCCCGCACAAACTTGCAGGGTCCTGAGAATTGAAATAAAACCGCTGTCTAGTAGCACCGGCGGGCGCGGATGGAAACGCTCCGTGAATTGTTAAATTTATTAACCTTAAACTGACGCTACTCAACGAGGGATGTGGTCCTACCTAATCGATAGTTGGAAACCGAGTGGCTGTTTTTAATATGAAAAAAGTATTCCATTTTTCATACTATATCTACATTGGTACTGGTGTATTATTAAATTAATATAAATTATTATTATTTTCTTAATGGCGGCCACTAGGCTTGGACCAGTGTCTGTTTTATAAGAATAATATAAAAAATATGGCGATCGTCGCCAGTGACAATTTTCCATTATACGTTACCACGGGTTGCTGAAGCTGTCACTGTCAAGAGTAAACTCGAACCATCAACTAATTTCATAAATTATTTATTAAATTTTTTTATTTTTTATTTTAGTTTTTTATGAAGGATTTATGTAATTTTCTATAATTGTTTCTAATTTATTTTGCATGCACATGTAAAATAAAGCTGATTTTATTTTATTTATTTTTTAAATGCATTTGCTACGGAAATTGAAACAAAGTCAGAAATAGTAATAAGAAAACCAATCCTTCGATTTTCCTGCAGCTTCAATCCAACCTTCTTTTATTTTAAACTCATTGGAAAAACTTAAAAATTAAAAATACTCTACGTTTAATCTACGAGTATAATGGAATTTAAATATCTCAAATATCTAAAACACATAAATTTTCCTTCAAGCAACAGCAACATCCAAACTGACATGACATGTTGTCCGCAATTTGAGTTGTGTTAAAGTTACTCGAAATAAAATGTTTAGTAATAATAATAATAATAATAATACAATAAAATAAATCAATTTAACGTGAATGCTTTTCGCTTCGATATTTTAGGGACTTTAATTACAAAAATCATAGTAAGAAATTCAAACATTTCACTAAAAATTTATTGTCGATAAACATCAGTCTTCGTAAATGAACATCACTATATTTGAGTCTAGAAATTTCTATGGAGACAAAAAGAAAACATTGAATAATAATAGAAATTGTAACTAAAAATGCAAATAGCCGGTGGAATGTTATCTCACTGGTTTTAAAATTTTTGTTTTCACTCCAATTTTTACAAGGTGTATCGCTACAACTTGGCATTTTCACGTTTTTTTTTCGAATCTTGTATGTACAACGATCGCCATGTCATTGTGGCGAGGTTTGCAGGCTTGTCACCTCGATATGGTCAAAATGACCATATCGAGGCGACGCGAACCACGCCCCCATTCCATACCACGCCCCCATACCCCTTTTTTTCTATATTTCGATACTCGATTGCTGCTTTGTTTTGGGATCGTAACTATAAATCCATGTTTCGTCACCTGTTACTATGTCCCACACCAAATTTGACGCCCCTTCGTTGAATTTGGTAAGCATGGCATTGCACCAAGTGACGCGATCCGTTTCTTGGACCTCAGTCAAATTGTGTGGGATCCACCGAGAGCACAGGTTTTTTTGTGTAGTGTTGATTGTATTTGACTTATGCCTATGCCTAAAGAAGCCCGAATCTCATGGTATGTCACATCCCTGTTTATTTTGATCATGCGGCGGACAGCATCGATGTTTTTGTTGTTTACAGCAGTGGACGGGCGGTCATCGCGAAATTCGCCACTGAGATTCACACTACCGCGTTTGAATTCTACAAACCAGCTATAAATAGTCGTCTTGCATGGTGCTTCATCGCCAAATACAGTTTGAAGCCGAACTAAGCTACGCTGAGCTGTTAAATTACACTTAAAGTCGTAGAAAATCATACTACGAAAATTTTCACGAGTTAAATCCGTGGTGATGTAGATAACCAATTTCTAAAATAACGCCAGAATGTAAAAACAAGCGACAGTCAGATGAAACAAACTGAATTCTACAGCCAAAGAGTTACATTTTTAAATTTTGTAATTACTTTTTAAATATTGTTTATGTAGGTAAGTGGCCAGTTCCGGAAACTTATAGTGCGCCCTATGTATGTACCTACTACTCTGCTAGTCTGCCTTTGGACTAACAGCTCTCAGTTCATGCCGATAATAATTTCATAAAAAGTGTGACCATGTCATTGTTTTAAATAAATGTTGTATTGAGCCGTGTCCACGTTGATGATAGCATAGTTAGCGAACTGAGCGAGCTCATCTTGCTCGTTACTCAAAATCCCAGAAGGCCGGGAATCCTAGCGAACTCTTCTGAAAAATCATTGAATGGTGGCTTTCTTGTGTCAATAATTACCGGAGAGACGAATTTATTTACAAAGGTTGCATGTAACACTTGGAGGATGGAGTCTAAGATGTAACCCTTAGAGGATGGAAAAAATCCGTAGTCTATGGTTTTCTTCTATTTAAATGCAATAGTTATTAAGTGGAAAAAACCTTTTTCAACGAAATTCCGTACCTCTTACACAATCTGTAATTCTGTTTTCCCAACCCTTTCATTGGCTAAATGCGAAGGCAAAGCCATTAACACTAAAAAAATGTGAAAAAAACTATCATCATCATAGCAATCTATGTCAAAGTTGATTATTAACATTTCAAAGTAGAAAAGTACTCCGTGTTTCAAAGACTGCAATTAATTGATTTGTTTAATTTAGGAATCTGAATTCGAACATCCTAACGTATAAAGTAGTAGATACATATTATGCGTTAACAGAGTTAAAGAGGGATTAAATAATTAAATAGGTACTTATATTTTATGTATAATATTTTGTAACTTGGTAGTATTCGCCTGTCATCCCACGTAGCTAACTACTTTAAGAATTGCGACCGGGTAAAAGGTAAAAAGAGAACATTACGTACTTTGAATCAAAAGTTTTAGATCAAACGTTTTGCCATAAAGTGGAAAGGTTCCAATTCATACCAAAGTCTTTGGTACCTAGACTATTTGCATTGCCAATGCAAATATTGATAAGGGATAGGTATGAGATTAGTTAAATTTGATTTTCACGAGTTGTTCGCGCTCACTCAACTTTATCTCTAATACTTAAATATAGTACACGTAAAGAGTTCATAATATATATAAACTTGCTAATGTGTCATATCGTGTAGGTATTACTTAAGTTTTAAACATCTTTTCCATGTTTTCTTTATATTCGAACACCTAAATATTAAGTAAATGGCAATGAGCGCTCGAAGGAAGTGGTTTCAAAGAAGTTTAACTAGTTTTATAGAAGAAAGACGCTGGATATATCTCTACATATGTCTCGTCGTGCTTATTTTCACCCTCAATGGTATAGACATTTGTCCGACTAACTATAGTGCGGTTGATTGTGAAATGTCCTTCGACTTACCGTCACTCGGTGTTCTCTCACAAACACGTAAATATACACAAGATCAAAATAGACTTCACGACCTAGAAAAAGTAGCAAAAATTGTTCGGGCTGATTGTGTGGTAGACCCTGGCTCATTATCACCCAGTACTCTTTCAGAAACACGAGGACATTCACGTACAGTTCAAGAAGAAATCCCAAAAATTGTTCGCTGGGAGAAACGCTATTATTTAAACCCTAAAGATACAATTATGACTTGTGATAATGTCAAATGTGAACGACTAGCTTATCCAGACAAAATTCCTCGTGACCTCAAAGGAGCTTATATTTTTTATGGAATTAGCATTAATTTCGATGACTTACCTCTACCACGACATGCTGATAAAGTATTTTGGGGCCTATTACATGAAGAATCACCTCGAACGGTACATTTTTTTATGTACGAAATAGGGTTAAGTCTCTTCAACTACTCGAGCACTTTTAGCAGATACAGCGATGTACCATTCCCATTGCATCATTTACGTTCAATAAACGATATTACCAGTAAGAAATATTTTATAGAGACCTCGAAAAAGAATTCCATGCTCAAAGAAATATCACCGATTATGTATTTACAATCGAACTGCGGCACTTCGACTGAAAGAGATTCGTACGTTAAACAACTCATGAAATATCAGTTGATAGATTCGTATGGATATTGTTTAAATAACAAACAGCTTCCGGCCGAATTTAAAGGCGATTACATGCAGATATTTGAAGACGATAGATTCCTTAAGTTTGTTGCGAGATACAAATTTGTAATAGCAATAGAAAGCGGCGTTTGTGATGATTATGTAACCGAGAAACTTTGGCGAGCAATCCATGTGGGTGTAGTACCTATTTACTTTGGATCACCCTCAATAAAAGATTGGCTTCCGAATGACAAATCAGCCATACTCCTCCAAGATTTTCCTACGCCACAATTACTCAGTCTGCATATCGATCAACTTATGCAAGATGACGAAATGTATGAAACGTATCTGGAACACAAAACTAAAGGAATTATAACAAATATGAAACTTGATCATGAACTGAAATCGCGACCTTATCAAAATGATAGAGATAAATTGTTTAATGAGTTTGAATGCTTTATGTGTAAGAAAGTACATCAGTTGGGAAATGGCTCTTACAAGCAAGTTATGACTAAAAAGCATTATAACTGTCCGGAACCAATTTCAGCTTTAACTCAAACAGTAAATCCGGAAAATATGCACTTGATTTTGAAGGACAATGAAAAATATAAAGTGTTACGAATCTATCATAAAGTTAATGGACTTTAACATTTGTGAGTGCAGTGAACACTTGATTATTTTGTTGAAGCTCTAAACTACTCTACATTAGTGTAATAATATTATTTTAGATATTACCAACTTTGTAATTATTTATTTATTATTATGTGAGTCTGACAACTAAATATTTAAAATCTCAATAAATAAACATGATGTTTCTAAAACACGTGGTTGCAGAAAAAGCATTTTAGACGTATTACACGTCTAAAATGCTTTTTCTGCATCCATCATCGTCACTAAATTGTGATAAGTATTTATTAATTAAAGATTTAATCAAATGTTTTCTAGTGTAGAAATAAGTTTCTATACACTGGAAACGATATCTGAGTTCTTCTAAGGGTTTATTTAAATGGATAACTGAATTATAAAAAAACCGACCTCAAAAGTTCGTGGAATTAATTACATCTATTTGCCAAGTGTTATTGAAATCGGTTACCGGACAGTGCCCCTTCGAGACCCTTAAGAGATGGAATATTTTCTTCAAATGTAAATGGGCCCAATACTGAGATAGCCTCTTTCCAACAAAAAACAATCATCAAAATCGATTCACAAATTTTCCCGGAGTTATCGCATAACATACATACAAAAAACATAGCCGAATTGAGAGCCTCCTTCTTTTTTTGAAGTCGGTTGAAAATGGTTTTGAAAATGAATCCTGAGAGCTGAATGAAATCCCAAGCAATAAAGTATGATCAGTCAATCGCCATCTATCAGTAAATCGTTAACATCTTTGTTGATTAGGCAAGTAACGAAAAATCTAATGCTTACTGAATTAGATATTTTCTTTTCTTGCAGAATGCGCAATGTATTTACTTACATTTCAATAAAAACAGTTTTATGGGTGCTACTTAAGGAAATTTTGTGGTCGCTGCTTACTTTAACTATCAGCGTGCTCGATTATGGAGAAAATCTTTACAGTCACGATATTTATTATTATATTCAACCTTTTGACTATGAATTGATAATAAATAAATTCACGATATCTAAACTGGATGAAATAGACGATTCGATAGTTTATAAAAGTGAAAGAAATCCGCATATTATTTACTATGGAAAATTATTCAACATAGAGCCGTATGACAGGCCTACGCAGACTATTATCTGTAATAAAGTGTTGAAATGTGACATATCTTATGATTATGATCCAGGATTAATACCAAGTAAAAGTGTAGAAGCATATATTTTTCACCTCAAAAGTTACCCTGGCGTTCCTCCACAAAAAATGCAAATGCCGAGAGATAGGAAGCATATTTGGGCTTTGTTACAAGAAGAATCACCCATATATTGTATGGAATGCTTGGACGAAGAATTTCTAAGTTTATTTAATTTTTCAAGCACGTTCAGCAGAAACAGTAATATACCATTCCCATTACTGAATATGTTATCCTTGAATAATATTACAAGTAAAATATTTTTCGTTCAAACTAAGAAAAAAAATTCTTACCTCAAAGAAATATCACCAATATTGTACTTACAGTCTAATTGCAAGACAACGACAATGAGAGACTCGTACATACGAGAGTTGATGAAGTACATACCAATAGATTCTTATGGCAAGTGTCTTAATAATAAAGAGTTGCCAAGTGCATATAGACACTTTGGCTATAAATACTTAGAAAGGAACGATTTTCTCCAATTCGTGGCGAGATATAAATTTGTTATTGCAATTGAGAATAGCGTCTGTGATGACTACATAACGGAGAAGTTCTGGCGAGCGATCCACGTAGGTGTAGTGCCTATCTACTTTGGGTCTTCGACGATAAGGGACTGGTTGCCAAATGAAAAATCGGCAATACTTCTTGAAGATTTTCCCACACCAAAGTTATTAATAGCGTACATTGATAATTTACTCCAAGATGACGACCTCTACGAGCAATATCTGGAGCATAAAACGAGAGGAATTGTTAGAAATCAGTATCTTATTAAAGAATTAAAAATGCGACCTTATCAGACCGACTTTGAGTTGGTAAAGGAAAAATTGGAATGTTTATTGTGTGAACAGTTGCATAAATCTAGGGAAGCACCACTGCCAACACGTATCATTAATAACACTCATTATTGTCCTACACCTTTTGAGATTTAACATAAAACTGGAATGTACCAAATAAGGAGGAATATTGCAAAAAAAAGTAGGTACCGACCAACCAACCTACGAGTAGTTGAGCATTCTCTTAAAGAAGATTTTCAAAATTTTAGAGCCATGCTAGTCATCTTATCTCAAATACCTAATTATTATTAGACTAGCGTAGACTATCTTTTTGTAAAAGGATGTTAACAATTTATTACTGGCATTTTTCGTTTATTGGTAGATATTATAATTTATACCTAGATGTAATCGAACATATTATAATCATAAAGTTTTCCATAATTCCGTACCTGAGAAGCATTACACTGTAAGCCCCATTTTACGGGGGAAGCGATTTTGTGTCGAAAAGCAGTTTGTCCGACAATAAGGGTAGTTCGAAATGTTATTAAAACTCAATTAGTTTTATTTCAAGCCATTCTAAATGTTGTATTTAAGGACAACGGCACATCAGACTACACATTTTTGTTCGAAAATCGCCTCCAATGCAACGGAACAAGATACGTCAATGTGTAGCTTGAAGTGATGGCGTGTGACATTCTGCATTTCTTAATAGCACTTACAGTGTAATGCTTCTCAGGTACGGAATTTATCACAGACATATATTTAAATAGACGCCTCAAGTGTACGTACTTTGCGTGCCCAAAGTAAGTGAAATTCACTTACTTGCCGCTTCTACACTTCAGAACGCGCTCGACCGTTATCGTAGATAAACACCCGTCGAAACCGCGAAAAATTGCATAATTGTGCCATTATAAACTGCAAAATCACCATAATTGTGGGTAAACGGGTAAACAGGGACGTTTGCTTCCACAGGCAAGTGATTTTGTAATCAGAAGATGCATAATTTATTTTAAAAACAATTATTTTGGTTTTGTATGAATTTCGAGAAAACAAATATGCAACAGAGTGTATGCCTCATGTTTGTAATACATTGCGGCTTTTACTTGGTACGATATGTTTGTGATCCTTTGTTAATACGCTATGAACATCGAACGAACGCACTTTTGTATAATGCATTCAGTTTCGTGGTACGGCCGCTAGTACATTTCTTTGGCCAAATTTAACATTTAGTGATGTATACGTTAGGCAACACTGTTCTCGATTCTGATCGATTTTGAAAACAAAGGGACGAAAAAGTTTTGTAGTATCTATTATCAGTAGTATCAGCTGTAATTTGTATAATTTTTGCAGCTCGTTGCCTCGAATGTACGAATATAGTGAGCAAATTATTACATACATAAAGCAAAGAATTAACAGTGCGCTGTAAAGAAAGCGCACTGTTAATTAATGACCAACTCCTGGTTTTTGTAAAGAAAAAAGATTGGAGTTGGTCATACGTAAGAGTTCGTTGCTTTCGAGGACGAAGGTGGTCTAGTTTATCCCACATAAGATGCTATCCAAATGTGCAATAAGATTTTACCATATTTTGTCAGCAGTAACATTTTCATTTCTCTTGCCATTCATCAATTTAATAAATTACCAACAGAAAACCATCTAGTAAAATTAATTAAAGCAATCGCAAGTTCATACATTAACGTGCGTTTTCATTATTTAAGTTAATCAATAAGATCTTCTATTATAAAAATATGTTATATAATAAGATCATTTTATTGAAAGGACAATAATTTTAATATTTGAAGTCGATTAAAAATTAAAGACTTAATTTTTTTAAGTACTTAATGTACATTTTTTAAAACAAGTAAAACAAAGGATTTAACTATCTTATTCTAATATTTTTGTACTATACTATAAATACTACGACTACTTGTAATCAACAAATACTTGAACAAAAGTTATTCTATTAAGAATCAATTAATAGAATGGAATACGCGTGTTTACGCGTATTCCGTTCAATCAATCGATTTAGAGCGAGCGGAAGGAGGTTTCATCACTAAATAGCTCTTGTGACGTCATAGTGGGTACAAAAAATGTGTCACGCTTGGTTTTCATTCAAATTTGCTGTACTTGCGGCGTCTATCTAAATATTACGTCTGTGGAATTTATCCTCTAATTTAGAATCATGAGTTTTACCTATGTTTTTATAAACACACTTAATTTAGTTAACAAATATAACTTTGTGTTTGGAAAAATCATTTGTTTTTTTACGCCCTATGAACTTTAGACCTAAGTTTTGTACATTGAGCTGATAGTGTAGGTAAATAAATATTTCTTTTTGCATTGGTATAACAGTTATTTGTTATGCAAGGCTGCAAAGTTGTTCTTTAACGCGAATGCTTGTATTGAAACCTGAGCAAGCGAAGGAAGCTAAGATATATTACAGACTAAAATAGATTCCTGAGCGAAGCGAGGGTTTCAAGGCACGAGACGCAAAACAACTTTGCTGCCGAGCAAAACACACAAATTTTAACCTCACTAAAGCGAGGAAAATGGTAGATGACATTTTTTAACTACATAGGGCGCACTATAAGTTTTCGGAACTCGCCACTTACATAAACAATATTTAAAAAGTAATTACAACATTTGAATATGGGAACTCTTTGCCTGTAGAATACAGTTTGTTTCATCTGACTGTCACTTGTTTTTACATTGTGGCGTCATTTTAGAAATTGGTTGTCTACATCACCATGGATTTAACTTGTGAAAATTTTCGTAGTATGATTTTCTACGACTTGAAGTATAATTTAACAGCTCAGCGGAGCTTCGCTCGGCTTCAAACTGCTTCTGGCGATGAAGCTTCATGCAAGACGACTATGTATAGCTGGTTTGCAGAATTCAAACGCGGTCTTGTGAATCTCAGTGATGAATTTCGTGATGGTCGCCCGTCCACTGCTGTGAATAACAAAAACATCGATGCTGTGCGCCGTATGATCAAAACAGACAGGCATGTGACATATCATGAGATTCGGGCATCTTTAGGCATAGGCATGAGTAAAATATAGTCAATACTACGCAAACATTTGGGTGTAAAAATGCTGTGCGACTGCAAGTTTTGTATCACAGCTAGGATACAGTCGGGAACGGCACTATGGTCGATCGTTTGTTGTTAGCTATTGTCGTTGCTTGGATCTGTTCTGTTTTGTATTCTGGTATGAGGTGATGTCTGACAGACTTTTTTACTATTATTGCCGTTCCAGCATGTCTAGTTCCGTCAGTATGAGTGGTGATACAGCACACGTAGTCATTGAATTTGAGGCTTGATGATGCGGTGTAATGAGCCTCAGAGAACAGTAGTACATCTAGGTTATGCTGTATCATCAAGAGTTCCGTCTCATTCTCATTAAGAGCGAGACCATTGATGTTCCACGTAGCTAGCTAGCTAGCTAGAGTCCTGAATCTAAAGATGTTTTGCTGCCAAGCTCCACATTTTTCCATAGTCTAAGCTCTACAATCACCTTATCAATTAATTGTCGCCTCGTTTTGACAAATGTGAAATTAACACACAAGCTGTCATGTATATAAAATAATTTCCGTTAAGATAATAATTAATTAAATAATTTTCGACCAAGTTCCAATTATAGTCAACTTGTGTCCTTTAGTCAGCTTGTCAATCCTTTGGCAATCCTATAACGTCAGACTGCCGAACTGATTTGCGTTTGTTTTTACCAAAATTGTATCTGAAAGTGGCACTAAATCACTTTAATTAAATTCCATTTGACCAATGTACCTACTAAAAATACTTCTAATACTACCTATCTAACATTAACACGAGGCGGCACAAATGGCGTAAAATCGTCATGTCTTGGCACTAGCAAGACAAAGACAGATTGCGCTGTTAATACAATAGTGTATTAACCCAAGGAATATACTTTTGCAGAATCGATGAAAACCGAATTACTTACTCACTTCCCGTGAAAGATTATAAAAATTTATGCATAGGTTAAAGTTGATTACAGACATCTAAACAATTTCCTACTTGCCAAATATATTTAAAAATAAAAGGGAAAAAATAATTTCATATTTTTGAGTAAGGACTGTTTTGTCCAGAAAAGGTTTGTCGCATTTTGAGTTAAATAGATATATTTTAATTGTTACTAACAATATTCTACCGACGATTGTATTGATGTGCAGAGATTCAAATGTTACATTCAGATAAGTATAATCTTGAATTTCACATATTTTGAGTTACGACACTATTGTAATAGCAGTGCGATATGATTAAATATTCCTTTTTAATAACTGGTGAAACTAACTCGTGACAAAATTACGTAACAGTGAAGGAAAAATCGTCTTTCGTAACTAGTTACAAAAAACAGCTACGTAGCGGTTTTCCCTCAAGAGAGGAAAAGTACTTATGTTGATTTAACCCCGGAAAGAAAAAGAAAAAAACGAGAAAATTCTATATATTGTCTTTTATTTTATTTGGCACATAAGTAGAGTAGTAGCTAGTTTTTCCCATAGATATAGGGGAAAAAAGGGTAGATTTGGTATGGGGGCGTGTTCGTGTCGCCTCGATATGGTCAAAATGATCATATCACGTGACAGGCCTACAAACATCGTCACAGTGACATGGCAATCTTTGTAAATACTAGATCTCTCGTAAAATGAAAATGCCAAGTTGTAGCGATACACCTTGTAAATAAAAATTGGATTGAAAACAAACATTTTAAAACCAGTGAGATAACATTCCACCGGCTATTTGCATTTTTAGTTACTATTTCTATTATTATTCAATGTTTTCTTTTTGTCTCCATAGAAATTTCTAGACTCAAATATGATGATGTTCTTTTACGATGACTGATGTTTATCGACAATAATTTTTTACTGAAATGTTTGAATTTCTTACTATGATTTTTGTAATTAAAGTCCCTAAAATATCGAAGCGAAAAGCATTCACGTTAAATTGATTTCTTTTATTTTATTATTATTAATATTACTAAACATTTTATATCGAGTTACTTTAACACAACTCATATTTCGGACAACCGTTTCAATTTCATGTCAATTTGCATGTTGCTGTAGCTTGAAGAAAAATGAATGTGTATTACTGTTTTAGATAATTTAGGTATATAAATTCCATTATACCTACTCGTAGATGAAACGTAGGGAATTTTGAATTTTTAAATTTTTCCGATGAGTTCCAAATAAAAGAAGGTTGGATTAAAGCTACAGGAATATCGAAAGATTGGTTTTCTTATTACTATTTCTGACTTTGTTTCAATTTCCATAGCAAAAAAAAAATTTTTTTAAATAGCATTTAAAAAATAAATAAAACAAAATCGGCTTTATTTTACATGTGCATCCAAAATAAATTAGAAACAATTATAGAAAATTACATAAATCCTTTTTAAAAAAAACAACATAATTTAATTTATTAAGTTAGTTGATGGTTCGAGTTTCCTCTTGACAGTGACAGCTTCACTAACTCGTGGTAACGTGTAATGGAAAACTGACACTGGCGACGATCGCCATATTTTTTATATTATTCTTATAAAACTGACACTGGCCCAAGCCTAGTGGCCGCTATTAAGAAAATAATAATAATGTACATTAATATATTAATTTAATAATACACCAGTACTAGTGTAGGTATAGTATGAAAAATTGAAACAGAGAAAAACAGCCACTTGGTTTCTAACTATCGATTAGGTAGCTCTCGTTGAGTAGCGTCAGTTTAACGTTAATAAGGTTAACAATTCACGGAGCGGTTTCCATCCGCGCCCGCCAGTGCTGCTAGACAGCGGTTTTATTTCAATACTCATGACCCTGCAAGTTTGTGTGGGCATGTAGTCGCTGCGGTTGCGGGCACGAAACCGTTGCCATTGCAGAACGGACCGTGAAGTTAGCGGGAGTAAATCGCAAGTCGCGCGGTTAATAGAGAACACACCCCGCGTGCGCCTGCATCACATTGCGCCTGAACCGACCGCCTAAGTGCGCGGGCGACGACGGCGACGGCCACCAAGCGCGCAGGTGATCGAGTCCTGCACGGTTTAACTAGTACCCCGCCGCGGCAACCGCGAGCAACCGTCACCACTACAGGCGTAAAACGCGTCGTGAAATGTGCTACTAATTTTATATATTTAACTATTACATTCTACAGATGCCGCGGTCCCACGGCAGACGCGGGCGAAAACCGCTCCGTGAGTTTTCAGTGTAACGAAAATGAGTTTCAGCGCCATCTAACGTGTAATAGGTAGCTATTATATACTAATAGCATTTTTATTAAAACGCCACCTGATAGTGAATGGCTGAACCAGGATGAAAAAAATACTGAAATATTTTAGGATAACTCTTACTCAAGTGACTGACTGACTGTAAGTTTAATTTTGTTACATTTTAAAATTGTGTCACGTCGTTTTCACGTTTTAGGCCCTACCCAATCAAAATCTTTAAGTTATGGTAGTAGATAATAGAGCGTAAAGTTTGAATTGCACACAAGCTAAACAAAGCATGGAAACTGTGGAAACCGGATGGAAAAAAAATCTAAGATGGCACGACACTTAATGGCCGCCATTAAGGAAATAAATTATAATACATCCGGGGCCATAATATTCAAAAGAAGAGGAACGATATCTATATTTATACATAGACATTTTCATTCGATTCAAGAAGAAAAACTAATATAGATGTGTTTACGCAAAATGAAAAACAGAAAATCCCTCAAAAATAAAATAAGCGGAGCATTCGACTTTACATTTGTTGAATTATGTTTCATAATTATAATGTTATATGTAACGCTAGTTTTATGGAATTCCCAATCTGATCCGCATTTTACTAAAAACCAAGAAAAACCCAAGAAAAAGCAAGAGACTAAGAAACAAAGAAAATATTTAAATTGCACCAGGAACCCTACTATAATATATTGGTCACAAGATAATCTCAACACAGACGTACTTGGTACCATAGAGTGCGAGGAATTATGTGATGTTTATTGGACGAACCAAAAGCTTATGTTACCACGTAACAGTGAAGGTGCTTATTTATTTTACGGAAGTCGTACAAATTTCGCCAATATGCCATTACCAAGAAATCCTCAGAAGGTAATTTGGGCTTTTCAACATGAAGAGTCTCCAAAAAACGTATTACATTTCATGCATGAAAAAATTTTAAACCTATTTAATTATTCGAGCACATTTAGTAGACACAGTGACGTGCCATATCCTTTACATTATATGATCTCTTTAAAACTAATAACGAGCACAAAGTATTTCGTTAAAACTGAAGCAAAAAATCGTGCGCTGAAAGAAATAGCACCAATTTTGTACATACAGTCCAGTTGCAAAGCCCCAACACAGAGAGATGAGTACGTTAAAGAACTGATGAACTACCAGCGAATAGACTCCTACGGCGCATGTCTAAATAACAAACCCATACCTAACCATTTAAAAGAAATAAACAGTAATTACTTAAATAATTTATACGCAGAAAATTTTCTTAAATTTATGGCTAGATACAAATTCGTGCTCACAATAGAAAATGGCCTTTGTGACGATTATATAAGTGAGAAATTTTGGCGAGCGATCCACGTGGGTGTAGTGCCTATCTACTTTGGTGCTCCTACGATAAGGGACTGGCTGCCAAACAACAAATCAGCTTTGATTCTCGATGATTTTCCGTCGCCACTACGGCTAAGCGCACGTATTAACACTTTAATGCGAGACGACGATTTGTACGAAGAATATCTTCAGCACAAGACAAAAGCCTTGATTTCTAACCAAAAAATTATTGAAGAAATTAAAGCAAGGCCATATCAGACGGATGACATGCAGAAAGATAAAAAATTTATGTGTTTTATTTGTAAGAAACTTTACCAGAAAGATAAAAGTATTAAGGTGGTGCCCAAAAGCCATTACAATTGTCCAAAGCCTAAACCAATTTTCGCGGATTCTGATATTACTTGGGCACAACTGTGGGAAACTTCCAGAAAGGAGTCGGAGGAGATTTATGATGAAATAATGTATTTTTAAAAGTTATATTGTTATTTTTTTCTATTATTTCATTGCTTATCGTGTTCTTAGTTATATTATTGTAATATAGTTTAGTTAAACGGAGTTATTGGTTTTGAAAATGTATACATAATTATATTGTATAAAGGGTTATTTAATTATTTTTTATAATATCAAGTGACAGGACGAACATGTCGTGCGCCTGATGATAAGCTACGCGCCTGTCGATAACAGTTGCAGTGCCATCAGAGCTTTAAATCCAAAGATCTGAGTGGCAAACGTCAAGGTTGGTTTCACAACTATGCGTATGGACCGTAAGGACTGTCCGCCTGATATCAGAAAAATAAAAGGTGTCTAAAAGCCATTACAATGGTCCAAAGCCTAAACCAATTCTGGCGGGTTCTGATATATCTTAGCAACTACTGTGGAAAACTTACAAAAGGGAGTCGAAGGAGATGTAAGATATAATAATGTATTTTTAAATTATATTGTTATCTTTTTCTATTATTTCATTGATTTTCGTGTTCTAAGTTATATTATTATAATAGTGCAGTATAGTTACACTTGTTTATTATTAGTATACTGGGTATTTATTGGAATATAGTTTAGTTTAATAGAGTTATTGGTTTATTAGAAATGTATTCATGATTATATTGTGTATAATAAAATCGCTGATTATAAATAACCTTACTTTGTCTGATAACCCGATAAGACGCAGTAAACCCATACAATGAATAGTTTATCTTACAAATTGCGTTCATCACTTTTCAGTTTCTGATGGTCAACAGTGGTCAACAATATTAAAAAGCCGAAAAAACCCAATACAGAGATCTATAACAAACACAGGAATTCGTAAGATCTGCTGACTCGACCTGTATGTAGCTCAGTTGGCAGAGTATGACTGTCGAGGTCTGTCAAGTCGAAGAAATGTTTCTTTGTATACGATCTTTGTATTAATAATTATAATGTTCCCAAAGTAATCTCTCTCCCTCATTGAGTAAGTCAATGCTCTCCCTATTTGATTTTAAATTCGGAACTTAATCGTGTATAAAAACATATTTTTTATTTTGTTTACCTCGACGTTCATATTTCATTAACTCACACTTTTTTCCATCCTCTAAGACTCACACGGCTAGAAAATGTTGACACCCGCCTCTTCAGCCAGTCTATATGTATGATCTATGTCTTCAGTCTTTTCGAGACCATAGACGTTGCTATACGGCCGAAACGTCGAGGTAAATAAAATATGTTTTTATACATGATTGAGTCCCGAATTTGAAATCAAATGTTTGGAAATCGTGAAAGTTTAAATCAATGTTATCTTTCTTCGTCAGAGTATATGTTTCGCTTAGTTATTTTTTTGTAGGTTCGTAACCCTTTGCAATCACACTTGCCTTGTAAGTACTTTCATCTAAGTTTAAAACTCAATGCATATGAATAATCTTATCTTTTGTTTCTGGCACTGTTACCAAGACTTGGCTGTATGGTTTACCTTTGCGTTCTTCTTAACGGTAAGAATTTATAAAAAACAAGACTACTAAGAAAAGAGCATAAGGAGCAAACCCGATGATATCTCGTGCTCTATAGAAGACCTATAAAAACGTGGACACTTACCCTGTCCTATACAATTATATACCATCAACCACATAAACGCATTATGATTATGACGTATGAAATAAACTTTAAAAGAACATGCACTTGTGACCTGCTTGTGGCCCTTTCCAACAAAACAAGGAATGATAGGAAATGAAACACACAGGTCCCATGGTCACGGTTGACTAACAACAAATATACGCGATTTAAATCCGGAAAAATAGTTTCATTTCCTATGTGTAACAATCGCGAAAACCTAAGAACTCGACAAGAAATGATATTAACATATGAAGAGGCAGTATGTTGCAACCCTTGCGTACTCAAATAAATGGGTGAAAACTTATAAAAAAATACATGCTTCATTTGTAAAATCTTATAAATTGGCATTCGTTCCCGGTTCACAAACTTTCACGCATGAAATCAAAATTTTAGTACAAAACATAAAACCTTCATGTCAATAATTGGTAAAAATATGGAAAGTTGGTGATTTTCAGTGTCAATCAGTTTGCACTCTACAATTGTTTAAGGAATTAAAAAGCACGAGAAAACAGACATGCACGTACATACATTCGATGTCGTACGAAATTGGAAGAAAATAAGCATTAAAAAACACTAAAACTATGCAATGCGACTCAAACATTTTAGATGGGAAGTAGAAAACCGATTGGATCGCAGATAAAAGTTTATGGTAGGTATAGTAACTAGCTTTTACTGGGATCTTCATTTGCGGCGAGAATAATAAGTATTTCAACAATAATTCTTAAATAATTTAATCAGTCAATTTCATCAAAATCTGTTTAGCGATTTCGGCGTGATGAAGTAGACAACTTACCTCCAAATATATAGTAGTAATGTTACACACCTGACACCTTAACCTTCTTCTTGGTTTTAAGTAGATCAGTGTGAAGAAGGGTGTTAAACAAAATTAACCTTTAATCTGTAAGATGTAAAATTAATCTTGATATGACTTCCTTAGTGCATCATAACGTTAGTGAATGACGTTTTAGGAAACCTTGTAAGCCAATTTGATCTTTAATTACATTAGATAAATACAAATTTCAATTAAAATGCTGGAAGCCCTTTACACTTTTTCTATTGAATGCGTAAGAAGGCTCTCACAACTAAAAGGTCGGCTAGGGAATCAGGTATCTTAGGACATCGACTGTACGTATAAACATCGAAACTTTGACATTTGTAAGATTAAATAGGAAATTTAATTAAGTGTCGAAAATAACGAGTAGTTGTTAGCTTGTAAAAGTAGTTGTGTTTTTAAAATTTAGTTTTAAGGTCTACTGTTATACTAACGTATGTTGACTGATGTGTAACTGAACAGGTGTTAATCAAGAAACAGCTTTAGGCACAGGTATCATTTTGTAGTCTTTATAATCATCTTCGTTGATTTGATACGGGTTGTGGAATCTATAGTAAACATGGTTATAAATGCTTCAAGATTTAGAGCTTTTGGAAGACGACAATAGGGAGTCAATTGCTCGAGCCACATAAACCTGGTTCAGACTATTCCAGTAGTTTACTCATGAAGCGAGTAATTTAGTAAGTAAGTAAAGACTACCAAGTTATCAACTTACCAAAAAACATAGTAGTAGCGTACTGCAAAAATAGGTAACGCAACAAAATAAATAAACTAATAAAGCTTATTGAAAATGACATTAAAATAGCCTCACACTTTAGACGAAGACATTAGTGTGATAAAGGAAACTATAGTAACGAGAATGAATGGAAAGAATGAATGAATGCTATTTCATCTATTCTTCTTTTTATTCACTCAAAGTTGTAGGTATTCTCGCTACAACGAAGGGACTTTTTTGCGACAGCTAATGTGCTCCACAAAATTAACAGGTATGCATTTGTTAACTGGATCTACCATATGCAGTGAGTCGTGATGGAGAGCGTTCCTCACATGGAAACATAGAACGAAATGGATTATGACTAAATCACAGTTACTAAACAGTTACTGGACTAAATGCCAACTGTCTCTGTGGCCGAACGGTTATCATGGCGGTCTGCCACGCAGAGTTACCGCGTTCGATTCTCGGGCCGGGAGAAATATTTGGCCTACATTTAATTCTCTTGTGAGTTTGGGTATAATTTGTGGCTGTCTGTATGTGTGTTCATGGCACCCGCGACACAGGGTTTCCCTAGAGCGGAACTAAGAGTGTTGCGTTATTAAAATAAAACGTTGTTAAAGAAGAAGACACAAACACTTCCGAAATTTATGGTGGGGTACGAAATCTTCAAACATCAATAGGTAATCAATAAAGTCATGATTAACATTATATTTGTTATAATTATTAATAGAAACTAGTGGAGTAATTTCACAAAACATAATTGAATATCGATTCAATAAAAATTTAAACATTATATATGATCGTGATGTATAGGTGCTTCGCTCTATTTACTTTGGATTGTACGAACTATAACACACCAAAGAGTTTTTAGTGCGTATTATTTTGGAAAAACACGAAAAATGTTCCATACTACACTAGTTGTTCGATCCAAAGATATAAACACAAAATTTAGGAAACTCTAGACACTGGCGATCTATTTTACTGATTTTTTTCAGCACCAGGTTTATATGAAAAAGCTCCTTCATAATGACTGATGATGAGGAATACGACCGCAATTGCGTTTGCAGGGATCTGGAGTCCATAACAAAAGTAGGCATTGACACTGATGGAGAATTCAAATATATCCTCATGAAAGTGAAATGCAGTAATAAAAAGCATGAACTGCCTTCTGTTGTCATCGTTAGGGGATACAAACGACATAATAACCATACGGATATTTTTAATGAAGTAAGAGATGTAGAATTTAATTAGAAAATAAGTTTTACTACAACAAATACTTAACTCTCAAGAGAAATACGGAGTTCGTAATTAATATAGAGTGCACAGGGGAAAAGAATACTACGGCCATATTTCAACCATCTTGTTTTTTTTATGATATCACATGAGACGGGACGAACAAGTCGTGCGCCTGGTGGTGAGCGACACGCCCATTCCTAACAGTTGCAGTGCCACTCAGAGCTTTTAATTGCAAAGAGCTGAGGGGCGCACTGTCACTGCGCCTGTCACCATGAAACATAAAGTTGACAAGTCCCAAATGCCTGTAATTTCACCAGGCTTATTACCTTTCTAAATCGAAACGCGTGGCGGCAGAAATAGGTAAGGTGGCAGTACTTCCTTGGAGGAACTCTTTCACAAGGAGCTGTACTGCCACTAAATCTTCTTGGCGAACTAGTTCCATCGTAGATTGTACCTCGCGACAACGCACCACGATCAGCTGCATATTCAAGATGTTCTCCGACATATTCATCATAATCTTTACCGTTCATAGCTCTTATTACTACTCGGTGTCCAATAAGTAATAGTGGCAGTACTTTCCTAAACGAAGTCTTTCACAAGGAGTTCTATTATCGCAAAACTTGTTTATAAGATACTTATTGAACTAGCTCTGGGTTTCTTCCAGCATGCATTTTATAACTTTACAGTCTCATAGAACGTTAGCATATCTAGACGGCTAGACATCGCGTTGTTAATATATAAAGGTGTCCATTATTAAACCTACTAGAACGTCTGTAAGGTAGTGGAACCAATCATGGACGATTTAAGGATTTATTTTTTGTTTTAGCCTTTTAATTTTGAATGACACCCCGTCATGGACGGTTTTCAATCATGGACACCCCGCCATGGACGGTTTTCAATAATGGACACCTAAACATGAACGATCAACAATTTGGTCATTCGCTTCAATGCCGTGCCTAAAAAAATCAAATCCAGTAACGGACGACCAGTGACGGACACTGTTTCCATTATAGTGTAGACTTAAAATAATGTAACAAGCTATAAACTAAATTAAAAGTCTGGTATGAAATAATCCGATTATGGACAAAAAAGTCCATGATTGGGTAAATAGCTAAATGAGATCCAGTAATAAACACTTAAAATTGTCCAATAGACGTTATGATATTCTTTTACAGTTATGTTTTGTTTAGATGCTTAAAACAATACCAAAACACAAAATAACCACAGAAGTCACGCCACTTTTAAATACCACATTCAAATATGATTATATAAAACGTACATGAGGCGCGGTCCTTATAAGAAATCCGTTTTATTTAAAATTTGTTATCACCGTCTTATTTCGCACTGTGATAATCGCGAATAAAGATGGCCGCCAGCTGTCAAAATTTAACTGATGTCTTCCATTTTGATCAAAAATGATAAAAAATTGTGAAAGTGAAAAGAAATAATTAGCGTTTCCTTATGTTTGGCGGTATAGTTCAATATTGTTCATGATTGGTGCACTGTCCATCATCGGTTCCATTACCTTAGGTACTATTTAGTTTACGATATCCACGAAAAATTATCTTACAATTAAGCATTAATATTGCAAGCCGAATATATTAAAGTTTCACGGCTTAGTACAATATTCTGCTAAGGCTGCTTTCTAGTTTGCCTAATGGACCGTCTCCGAAATAGAGGTTATAATCTTTTCCTTCGCCGTTTAAGCAAGTGATAAGAGCAAGTTAAACTGAAAAAAGGCTGCAGTAGCAGATCACTTCATACAGAGATATCGAACAAACACAGAGAAAATTTCATTGATTCGATTGGACTTAAACACATTGTGTGTTGCCTCACCGTGGCTACTGTAAATGAGCTCCAGATCGAGTATCAATCGAAGGTTTGTTCGATCTTTGTATCAATAATATTAACAAATGAAGTATTGACTCAAAAAATATGTGAATCATGGCCAAATCACATACTTATATATCATATATACATATCATCACGCCTTTCGCCTACGGACCTCCACCTGCTACGCTCCCTTCGCCTCCTCCACTCCCATCAATCTCTTTGTACATGCCCGGTTATTCTTGGCACTTTTAACCTGGCCTTTTTAAGGACATCTCCATTCTGATTGAGATATTTACGCCGCGGTCTACTTCCATCCCCACGCTCATCATGAAATTCAATAAAATAAATTTTCCGTCACAATTTTTCTTACATTTGCATTAATCTTGAATTTTTAGGTCAATGAAGAATTGCAACCATTATGTGGTGATGAAGTCTTGGGCGGTGGTATCATCACGCACGATTCTAACAGCAAGACGATAAATATCTTCGGTAAGTCAGATACTTACGGCGAAGCTAACCATGCAGCCACAGCCAGGCTCATCAGAGAAGCTTACCCTGACTACAAAGTCACGTTTAATAATAAATAAAGAGAAGATATTTGGGTACATATCTTTAATATCTGTGATTAAAGTCAAGTATTATCAAAGCAACTAAGTCAATTTTACCTGCATACCTCAAGTCTTGATTCATTGGAACGTACTTACCAGAAATAGTTACGGATGAAATTGTAGTAGGGTAGGGAACTTACAATAATCGTTCAATTAAATTTCATAGATGCAGGATGTCTTTTGGGTAGAAGAATAGTGCTACTTTTTTACTTACTTACTCTGTTGGATCAGCAACGCAAAATGTCTTGGACTCCGAAACGAGATGATGCCACTTTCTTCGGTCCTATACAAACTCTCGCCACTTGACGGCTTGTGGTTCGCGCAGGTCCATCTACACAGCACACTTCGTTGATACTTAGGACAACCAACCATACCTAGTCCAGTGGGTCGACCTAGACAGGCTCTCTTCAAGTTCTAAACCTCTCCCATCCTGTCTAAATGGCCGCGTCAGTGAAGCCTGTGCGGTGTAGTTTCGTCGATGATGTTTGGCTGGGCGACGAGTTTTCTATTTCGGCGTTAGTGCGGATTCTCCAGCTACCATTCACTCTCGTTTCTACTACTACTATCAAAAGCAAATATTCGAGTTTATAGCATCAATGTAAGCACAGCCTTGATGGCTTTATAGCCGGTGCTCAATAAATAAATAAACAGTCAATAGCACATAAAGCTTGACATTTAAGATTTAAATTCAACCTTTTCCAACAAAATGGGATAAATACTAATACCTAAATATGAAGAGGCTGTATGGTAAAATCTTAGCCTACCCAAATAAATGGGTGAAATTTTTTTTCCACATTTATATGATGTTGTGACATTTTCATATTACCTAATTTTTACTCTTGGAGTACAAAAGGCAATGGCCTTGTTAGTCTTTTATGGTCCATGGTAAAATAATGATGAAATATTCAGCTTTGTAACATGAAAAATAGTTCAACGATTTAAATAAAATGTAATTTACAAAACACAAATTACTATAAGGTCACTATTTACTGAAAATTTTTGTTGTCATTTGAACTAATAATAAAATAAGCCTCTTCATTTTCACCTGCTAAGCAAGATGTTGTTACCTTATCAAAATTAAGCCATTTTGACTATAAAAGAAAGTCCTATACGTAATAAAGTTAGTCCTAGTGCCCACTGACAGAACGGGACGGTAAGGGATTTTTAGGTGACGAATAGTAATGTACCTTAAGATTATGACTTTATAGTTGCAATTTTAGTGATAATGATCGTAGCCACAAAATGAAGCTGCGATATGCTTAGGCATGCCGAGCCTTCAGCCTCCGGAATGCCTAGTCAACCTCCGGAATGCCTCAGCAGCTTTATGGATGCCTCGGCAACCTTAGAGATTCCTTGCCAGTTTTAGTCTAGTCTAGTCTTACTGCCCTGGTATCCCCCATTATGAATATACAGGGTGTAAATTTGCGATTTCTGCCATTTCGAGTACTCTTACCTCAGTTGGTCCTATAGAGTCTGTTGATCCTTACCAGAGACCGGATCGAATGGCATAAAAGAAAGTTTTGTAATAATAATGTAAAATAATTTTATCTTGCTGACTGTACCATTTTTCAGTCTGTGAATGCCAATCAAAATATCTTCAAAATTCATGGATAGTCTACTAGAACCGTTTTCCTGTAACTACAACGATTAAGGTAGCTGGCCTTGCTGCCCCGTCTCAAATTTACACCCTGTATAGCTATACAAAAGCTAAGCAAAAGTGAAAAAAGTTTAAATATCATAAAATGTTTGACAGGGGGTGTGGTGGGGAGCACATTCTTTTCCTTTAAAACTGGTGTACAATGCCTTAATTAGAAGCCTTTTTGACTACTCAATTTTTATTCTCGAATCCTGCAATATGTCCGCTTTGAGAAAACTAGACAATATTCAATATAAAGCCCATAAATACTATACAGGTAGAATGTGTTGAACCACTCCTCCACTTAAGAAGACAGTTTGTATCGGATATGTTTTCCGATGCTTGCAGCTAGCTAAGTACCCTTTGTTAGCTAGACTAGAGCGTTTTTCTGTGGAATCTTCCTCTTCTTATTGGTCTCATAAATCCCTTTCATGTTTAGTTAACAGTTTCCGTAAGTATTATCTATTCACGCACCAATTCACACATCAGAGAATCTTCCTATCTTCTGAGTTAATTATGATGCTTTAATATTAACCTCTGATGTTCGTTTGTCTTCGGAACATGGAAACAGTCGAAACTACACATTTTTTTCTTTTTACTACACTTTGTTACAGACACAAAATTCCAAACTTGGCATCACATTTAGCGATGCTTCTAAACTCATTAACAATAGTAATGTTGGAATTGGAGTTTATAAATCCCAATATAATTTTGTACAGAAAGGAAAGTGTCCTCCTGAGAGCTTTGTTTTCACTGGGGAGTGTTTCGGGTTATACAAATCCGTTGAGTATATTCTATTGGCTACATTTAAACAGACCGTAATATTTTCTGATTCTATATAACTGCCCTTCAGGTACTTGTAAGATATCCGTTTAAATCAAAACTTATCTCTCCGGTAATTATTAATACAAGAAAGTTACTATTCACATGTACATTGAAGGGTTTTTCATTAGTGTTCGCCTGAATTCCCTGTTACTCGGGAATATTGGGCAACAAGCACGCTCACAAGCTCGCCAATGATGCTATCATCTGCGGGGACATGGCTCATTACAAGATTTATAACCTGGTCACACTTTTCAAGACATTTCTTAGAAATAATTGGACTACAGCATGGACGGAGAGCTCTCGGTTCAAATGTAGATTTTATAGCAATATCCAACCATCAATACCAGTGAAACTGTGGTTCCTAAACTAAAACTGAACAGAGTGGCAACAAGCATATTGACTCGAATGAGATTAGGTCACGTATGTACTCCCGTTCACCTTGCGAGATTTAATATAGTTGGTGACGATGTGTGTGATTGCGGTGAAATTAGCGATTTAAAGCACATTTTTTTTAATTGCCCAAAATTTGATCGTTCTTCTCTTATCCAGAATCTTATCCAATCTCATGTGCCTCTTCCGACTTCCATCCATCTCTTGTTTTTGTCCAATAACTATTCTATATATACTTTTTATCTAAATTTATTTTAGAAAATAATATAAAAAATTTACTGCTGTAATAATAATATAATATTTATTCTATATTTATACCATTTTGTTTATTTACATCTCATAATTCCTCGCCTGATCCCATTTTCACTTTTTCTCTAACTTTCAAATCCCGTTTCCAAATTACATTCCATGATATTGTAAAAGTTTCTCCGTTTTAAAAACATGTCAGTCAAAACACTCTGTAAGTGGCTAAAACGCTTACCGCGAAAAGCCAGGAGAAATAAGAAGAAAATATATTTATAAAACAAATTTGACGCCATTATATGCCAATTATCAAAAGAATAGTAAAGCCAAAACCTTCTTCAAGAGAAGCCAGATATTATTTTACAGACATTGTTTTATTTTCATAATTTCACAGGACATTGGCGAAATCGCCATTTTTTTTTGTATAATTTTTATAATAATACTAAACTACCGTACATAGTTATTTTTACTTGACATTGGCAAAATCATTGATTATTTCGATGGGGCCATAACATTTAAAAGAAGAAGAAGAAGAAGAAGCCAGAAACTTAAAAAATAGAATAGAATAAAGCCAAAATCTACAAATATTCAGTTAATTGAAGACTCAAATACAATAAAGAAACAGTGTGCTTCATTGAAAGGGTCAACGGTGTGCCTGATACGATTAATTTCCCCTTATTCATTGTAATATTTGCAATATAAATTCCACATATACCAACTCACTATCCCATTCTTTGCTCGCTATAGATATACCTAATAATGTCTTTGATTGTAAATGTTTTTGGAAGGTATGATATCCGCAATTTAATACATGCTTTTCCAATCCTCATACTTGCTATAGCCTTTTGGATGCCTCCAGCTACAATTAACTCAGCTGATAATAGTAACAAAAAGTTAGTAAAGAAAAAATATTTACACCGACTTCGTGAACCCCAATACCACAGAACTTTATACGAAGTCAATAAACCGACAATCATTAAATGGTCAAGCCGAGATCTTAGAAACATATCTAAGGTACCTAAGGCCAAGCAATTGATCTGCGGTGACTTCATTTGTGATTATTATGACTATCCCATTATGTTACCGTACAACGCCGTAGGAGCATACATATTTTACGGAACTACAATCGAATTTAAAGACTTGCCTTTACCACGGCAGCCTGAGAAAAAAATTTGGGGATTGTTCCATGAAGAGTCGCCTAAATATGTCCCAGAATTTATGTACGAAGCCGGATTACAACTATTTAATTATTCGAGCACCTTTAGCAGACATAGCGATGTGCCATTTCCTTTACAATGGCTTTCTTCGTATAATAACATAGCAAGCAAAACACATTTTATAGCAACGTCCAAAAAGAATTCTCTTCTTTCGGAAATATCGCCGATATTGTATCTTCAATCGAGGTGTAAGGTACCATCTGAAAGGGACTTGTATGTCCGAGAGCTTATGAAGTACCAAAGTATAGACTCGTATGGCAGTTGTGTAAAAAATAAAGAAATACCGAAAACACTACGACGTAAATATTTATACAGATTAGAGGCAGACGATTTTCTCAAATTCGTGGCGAGGTACAAGTTTGTATTAGCATTAGAAAACGGAATCTGTGATGATTACGTGACGGAGAAGTTTTGGCGAGCGATCCGCGTGGGTGTCGTGCCCATTTACTTCGGAACTCCCACAATAAAGTTCTGGATGCCGAACGAGAAATCGGCAATACTGCTCCAAGACTTTCCAACTCCTAAATTACTGAGCGAGCACATTGACAAACTGATGCAAGATGACGACCTATACGAGGAATATTTAGAGCACAAAACGAAGGGAATTATAAGAAATGTGAACATTTTAAAAGAAATAACAGCTAGACCATATCAAACTCTAGAAGAGTCCAGCTTTCGTAAATTTCAGTGTTTCTTATGTGACAAGCTGCACAACTACGAAAAAATTCCCAAGAATCGTCTAATTAA